ACGTCATTTCGTCATGTTGCATGGGAGGATGGGGGGAGGATGGGGGAAGACGGCTTCAGGTGAGGGCAATGTCCCTCCATCTTTGATCTTACATTCAAGGACGAAGAGCACGCCTGTAATGCCGTTGGCCTGGCATGGCAGGTTCCTGCCTGCAACTGAGGCCCACCGTGAGGTCTGATTGTCAGAACAGTCGGTGAAAAGAAGCGGCGATGGTAGGGCAATCGCTGTGTGTGCTCAAGGATGGCAGAGGAGGTGAGAGTCCCCTCTGCACAAATTCCACGGAGGGGCAGGTCGGTGGTGGTGCAATTGACCTTACAAGGTGCACGAGAAGCGGTGGGGGCAGAAGCTGGTGAGTGCAGCACTGGAGCACGGAGTGAAGCTCCTGAAACCATCAAATCTGAAGTAGTGTTGCATGTTTCTGCTTTGCGAAGCTGTGGGGGGATTCCCCTTGCTGGGTGGCAGTTCAAAGGTCTTTGCCCCCAGTTGGGGCCCTCCAATAGGATCAGAATCTGCTCAATGCATCTCTCCTAGTTCGACGCCACTGCAAGCGCCCTGACCTTACACCATGCAGCGATGCTCCAGGTTACCTTAACGACCAGAGCTTGAGTCAAGCATAGGAGGTTGTAAAAGTTTGCACCACCGCACGGAAGGCTCCTTTGAGCTAACAGGTGCCATTGCACTCGCAGGTGTCAGTTCAACTCAGGACGTTGTTGTCTTCAACACAGGGGAGGGGTTTTATGCAGTTGAAAATGTGAGTTTAGAATGACATGCTTGGTGTTTGGCAAGATGGCTTTCTCCATATGACGTCAAACGCAAGGCAATGACCAATCAATCTCAAAGAATATTCTCGAAGGTACACAGGATTTGGAGGGCGCTAGCATCTTGTCGTGAGCGCTGATAGCTGCTTTCTTTAGTCTGTATGAACGTAATTCATCTCTGTTTCCCTCTTTTACCTCAAAGGAAGACAGAGTGTGGGTACCTATGAGATTTGCCTTGAGATGTGGTACGAAATGTGGTCTGGTGATGGGTGGTTGTAAAGCCAGCAGCACCTTCTGACCCCAGCTCTTGGTGCAGAGTTGCCCCCACAAGGGCTGGCCCCTGGCTGGAGGTAAGGGACTCCAAAATTTAAGATTTAATACCTGAATTTTGCAGGGCTTTGTTTGAATATGCCCTCTCTCTTGCTTTGGGCATCCAATGTCCTTGGGGTATGACCAGCATCCCGGTTTGACTTTGGATCTGAAAGCTGCCTTTCTCATGAACCTCAATCTGGAGCCTTTGATCAATCTTTTGCACTGGAAGAATCTTAACGAAGAAATGGACACCTTTTCGAGTGTCAGTTGTGCAATAGCCCAGTACTTGGTATCCAAGTCCTAGTTTATCATTTTCTCTGATCGCTTGCAGGTTCTCTTGAAGGATGCGAACTTCGATGTCCCTGGCATGGGTGGTGCGTAGACTTAAAGACTGGCGAGGTGACAGATATGGAGGACATATGCTGCTCTAGAGCATGTACTATTTTTCGTAGGCCGAAGGTGGGTCTCTCTACTTTTGTCACTCAAACTCGAGAAGCTTCAAGCCTTTACCTTGTGGAGAAACATGTCTCCGTTGCAACGGGCCTGCGCTTAGAAACTATGTCCAATATCAGTTAAGTGATAGATCGTGTTGCATATCTGGTTCATATGGTTCTTAATCATGGGAAGTTTTTCAGAAAGCCAGATGGTGGCTATGCCTTTCTTTGATTCTTAGTTCGAGCCTTGCTGCTTCTTTTCAGGGGATCTCTACATTTGGTGTGCGCAAAGAGGGCGACTCTTTGGTGGTGACAAAGAATGAAAGGACAACAAACTGACCACAGCTTTGTGGATCAGACCTATGGCATTGCAAATATAGTCCCTAGATGCCGCGCTCGCTTGCCATACTTTGTAGTGGATAGATTGAAAGGCGCTTAGAAAATTGCTCGCAGTATTGCCAGGAGGGGCTAACGGTTGCTAGATCAGTGAGACAATCACTGTAGTCAGAACTCGTCTGGTTTTAAAGCAGGGCCTCTAGAATGATTGATAGTGGTACTATACATTGCTTCAGGCAAGCTAGATGCATGGAAGCAACTCTCCTTTCGAGCTCATTATTATTGGGGCAAAAGGATGAGAATTAATAATATGAACTAGTCCAAGTGTGGTGATAGGCGTCGTGGACTCAAGCCGAGTGCGATAGTCACTCTTGCAATTTAAGTATGTGCCATACAAGCCAGTGAGAATTGTAGGTGCAGCATGGCCTGCATGGCCAATTGCAGTCCTCGAGTGTGACGTCGATCATGCTCAATCACAAGTATACAAGCTTTAACTAGAGCTAAGTTAATTGGCGCGTGCATACCGCAGCAATGAATGCGCGTACTAGCAAGGCACTGTATAATCAACATTCAGTGTGTCACGCAGTATATCTACTTAGCTGGAATTTACGCTTCGATTACTTGGCCAGTTATTATGGTTCAATGCGAAGTGCGTATACATAAGTACCCCTACCATTGCTGGAAAATCACATTTCTTATCTGTTATATACTTATCTGGCATTATATATAATGGCCTTTGGTGGCATGGCAGCATCACATACAGTCACCTGTACATGCGCCCTCTGCCAATACCCATCTTTGCGTTTTATGCAGTTCAGATTGCTGTAAGAATGTAGACGAGGAACAAATTCGGAGTGTTGCAAACGTCTTGTAATTGCCAGCGACGAGCCTCTTCATTTTTTGAGCAGAAGCACAAAACTTTCCCCTTTTGCCAAAGAAGAGGCTCAAACGGGGAGGGCCACTCTGAAAACTCAAACCTGGGATCAGTACTAGTTACTGCTGTTCGGGAAGGAGCTTGTATGGAAGAACATTGACTACCAATCTACACATTAGCTCCATTTTTGGTCAAACTTACGCGCACCAAGTCCGCTCCCTAGGCTGAATCGAACAGCTCGGCCGCTAGGCCGCTACGGGTTTGAAGCCCGCATCCGAGACCACTCGGAATCAAGGGAGCCTGCTTTGCTAAGACTGTTGATGTCCTTGACAACAACATCCTTGTAACCCAACTCACTGCTGCACCTGATCTCTAGGTAAGATTTTCTAGCGCTTGCCTTTGGAACTTCGTTTTCCTTGTTTCGACTTTTGCACAGCCAATGTTGAAGAGGAAGCCGCTGCTTCATCTTCACTGGGAGGCTGCTCAGGAAGCCACGATAACTTGTGCCAATTGAAGTACGGCCAGTCTGGTACAGCCAGCTGCATTTGGCAGAGAGAAGTCAAATTTGAGGAGAGACAGCTCTTCCTCAATTGCATCACAGAAGTTCCAACAAGGCAAGGAGCAGTTGGCAGTGAGCATATTTGCCTGGTCATTCAGCAACCAGTATATCCAGTTGAATCCACTGCTCTAACGATCTGGGAATGCACTCACCAAGAAGGCCAGAACCATCCCTCCAGTGTAGATTTCCAGCATCAGACGGTATGAGGATGTGATGTAACCAGCTAAGAACCCTATGACCTGCAGAATGGAAGCAAAAATCACCCCGACTGCGGCAATCACCTTCAACAGCATTTTAATGCATCTAAAATCAGCATGCAAATACAAATGTGTGGATCAACCTTTGCATTGAGCTCCAACGCCAAGGTGTCAAACCTGTCTGAACGAATGTTGATGATGCAAAAAAGCGGCAAGCCAATTCCGCCACAGCAAACTCGCTATACGTGCACTTACTGCGGCAACAATGATCAGCCATTGCATGATCTGCTCCGACAGTCGCTGGCCTTCATAGTCCTGCAAGCATGTCAACATGAGCCAGATTAGCAGTGCATGCAGTGCAGCAACGATGAAGCAGACTTTGCAATGTCAGGAAAATCAGCAATGACTGGCACATTAAACTTATTTTGTATCATGGATTATAGACTTACACATCTGTGTTGTCACACATCTGCAGATAGACTCATGTTCAACGAAATTGTAGCTAGCGCCTGCTGGACGAAAGACATGCAAACCAATGAGAACAGCAGACAGCTACAGAGCTGAAGATGCTCTGTATACGGACTCCAAGATGCTCTGTAGACGGACTACTGCCTTCAGTCCCACAACTGACATGTACTTCTCTTCAACAAGGATGAGAGGCCGCCAATACAGCCGGCAGACGAATAGTTACCGGTCCACCTTATCTTCCTGCTTTCAACCGCCGGGGAACGAACGCAAGGCTGCATCTGATGCTCAACCGACCAAGTCCAGGAAGAAGAAAGAAACCATGCAGAAAACAAGCAGAACACTCACCATAATGGCGGCCGCCTTAGGCTTTAGGACCGCCGCAGGCCAGCATGCAAGCTGCAAGGACAATGAAGAAGTTTTGATCTAGGTATGTATTACCAAGACGAACTCCCTTGCTTTAGGAGTGTCAGCGTTACGGTCGTAGTCGCTCACCCATCGACTCTTGTCTTATCCTGAATCTTTGTCCAAGCTTGGTAACGCGTCTCATCTTCTATGAATGGCTGAAAGTTGAAACAGAACAGCAGATGAACTGACGGTGAACCAAGTTTGAGAGCTCAAGTCTCAAGAGTGGGAGCCCTGCTGCCTGCGCAGCAGCGTTCCTTTCATCCAAGTAGGTATGGCTGGCTAGCCAGGCAAGAGCAGCTGTTGAACGAAGGCAACAGTCCCTGAATATTTTCCAGGATGCTGTTCTGTCAAGACCTTTTAAAGTTGATTGAGATTGCATTTCCACGGCATTAGGGTTTCTTTCCTAATTTTGTGAGAATGAAGAGCAAGAAGCAGCAGCGGAATGAGGCAAAGGGCAAGCAGTCCCAGAGGGCTTATGTACAGCCACCTACCGATGCTAGCCTAGATGGTCCGCTGCTGTCACCTGAGCTGGCGGCAGAGTTGGGCAGTGCAAGGTGAGGAGGGATCACAGATGATCCATTGCCACCCTCGATAGATTTTGTCTCCTTTGACAGTTGCAATTGTCAGAGGAGTAGGAGGAATCAGTGCTGTGGACACAGACATGATCCTTTAGGAACAGAATCCTGATGCCGTAGTATACCTTGGTTACTTGTAGAATCGGAGCTTATGCAGTCTTCATAATTGTGAGTGGTTGGTGGTGGTGGTTAGTGGTGGTTATTTGTGCTTTTGGTGGTGGTTCTGATGGAGTCTCTTAAAAGTACCACGACTTTGATGGTGGTGATGGTTTTGGTGGTAGCCCGAGGGTGGTGATTTTGGGGATGGTGGTGATTGCAGTGGTGCCGGTGGTCGTCGTTTGTTCCTTAAGATTATGTCCGCGTGATTTAGCTGTTGATGATTTATGGCAATTTCGTTTCTTATAACAATCAAGCATCGGCAAATGGTGTGAAATTGAAGGATTGTGTCCTCACCTCTCACATAAGCAGGTGGCCTGATATCAGTCACTGCTTTTCAAAAGCAGCAGCCCCCAATCACTTCATCAGCTGTTAGCTGAAGTTCTAGATATATTTTCTCTTTCGTGATAGTATTCCAGTGACATGATTTGGAAAACTTGTTGCCCTTCTCTCATTTGCGCGCTCATTCCACTCAACAGTGGTGATGGCAGCAACGCGCTCGTGCTGGCTGGGTCCAAGAAGCGCAGGCGTGAGGATGGGCCCCAGAAAGAGTCAGCCGCGGTGCTGAGCAAGAACCAGAAAAGGAAACTTCGCCGCCTGCAGGTAAATCAGAATCTTTTCAATCTCCTGATAATTACCATTGACTTTAGTCAAAAAAGGACGACGATATTTTTGGGGCCCTGGGGCCAGCCTTGTAGAAACTCTGACTACCACAAGTTGCCGGTGTACTACAGGCAGCTCTAGATCTACCGTTTTCTTTCCTGCTTTGTGGAGCCATTGGAAAAGCACGCACTGTTGCTTTGTAAGGAGCCGCCACTCTACTCCAAGCTTCCTTCGAACCTTCCATGTGTGCTGCTGCAGACCCATATGAAGATGAACGCATTAATAAGAGAGTGTGTGGATGTTAAATTCCTTCATCAGATGCAGTATAAAGCCTCTCAAAGAGATTGTGAAGAACCTTGACCCAAAAGTCAGAGTCCCCAACTTTCAGGAGGAGAAGGATGCGCGCGAGAAGCGAGCGGCCGTCCTGGCCTCTCTGGAGCAGCACCGTCTCTCCGAGGAGCAGCAGCGCTTGCTGCGCCCCAGTGGCGCCCTTGGGCAGGCAGAGACGCTCAAGCAGAAACTACACCGGGCCATGCAGTTCCAGAAGGTGGGGCTGGAGGCGCCCGCTGACTCCCGGCTCTTCCGGGAACGGCAGACCGGGGGGAACAGCGAAGAGGAAGAAGAAGGGGGAGGAAATGGGAATGGCTTTGGTGTGATCGCTCCCAAGAATGTCAATCTAGTTAGGGAAGTGAAGGGGTTTGGGGTGGTAGTAAATGATGACCCGAAGGTGGTTGACGGAAGAAGCGGAGATAGGGATGACGATGTCAGCGAGGAGCCGGAGAAGGTGCGCCGGAGCAGAGGGAAGGTGAAGTCGAAGCTGAGGATCAGCGGCGATGATGTTACAGAAGAAGACCTAGAGGTCAGAAGGAGCAGCGGCGCTTTGGCGGGGCCGCTGAGTTCACCTGTGGGAGGGGTTAATCTTTCGGCGCCATCTCAAAAGGCTGGGCTTGTTGGGGAGGGCTTAGAGAGGGCCGACGGAAAGCAGCAGAAAGGAACGAAGGAGGAAGGGGTCCGGGAACCACCAGTGGCCAAAGGACAGCGGCAGAATGGGAACGAGACGTTAGTTGGCCAGAAACGAGGTGCTGAGGGTATGCTTGCAGCAGAAGCTGCATCCGGGAGTCAAACGGTGGGCGAAGACTCTGCCAACGAGACTGGAAGGAAGAAAAGCAAGAAGCAGAGGAGGAAAAGTGCGAAGGACGCTCCAGCCGCCGCTGCAGTACCGTCCGAGACCCCAACGTCGGGGGTCTCCCCAGTCCCCGCACACGGCGTCCAACCCGAAACCGTTGCTAGCAACGGAACGGGCGCCCCGCCCAATGGTGCAGACATCTCGAAAAGGAGCGAAAACAAGAAAAAGCGCAGGAAGATGGCGGAGAAAGAGGGAGCTGTTGAGGTGGATCAAGAGGAAGGAGTTGAGGGGGAAAGGCAGGAAGTAAAGAAAGACGAAAATGGCGATGAGCGGGCAGTCAGGCGGACGCCCTTTGTTCGAACGTTGCAGCGGGATCCGGACATCGCGGAGGCGCGGCTGGGGCTGCCCATTTTGGGCATGGAGCAGGAGATTATGGAGGCGGTGGCGGAGCATGATCTAGTTGTCATCTGCGGAGAGACCGGGTGCGGAAAGACCACACAGGTGCCGCAGGTGAAGGCGGAAAGCGTTCCTATCATTCGTTTCCTCCTGTGTTCCATAATGGTTTCGTCCTGTGTTTTTACATATTTTTTGTTACTTGTTGTCCCGCATAGAAGAGGCCCTGCTTCGGGTGTCGGTGGAAGTCTCTCTACCTCGGATCGGACTAAGCGACTTCGAAGCTGAATTTGGGGATTTACAAGCACCCAGGGGTTGGCGGATGATGAAAGAAAATGTCTCAAACTTGCGGAGTGCCCCGGCACGATGTCGAGATAACAATGTAGACCCTGACGCCAACTCCTGTGTAGACTTCTGCAAGCTTTACCCCACCACCACCTAATCTTCTTTCCTTTCGCCTTATTGTGTATTCTCCATGTTGACAAGGCCTCACAGGGGCGGGCCTCGTTGTCTACCGGATTGGGGCAGTTTCACAGAGTCAATCAACAAGAAATTGATTGGGCGGTTCTGAATTGTCGCTCACCACCTGCTTGCCCTGAACGGATAGTTGCCTCTTCAAGGATCGGGCATGTGCCAACCCTTGATAGGAGCATACCCAGACCTTAGCAGGCGAATGTGTCGGGGGTTGGACTCTGCAAAGGGTAGGCCCCTGGCGACCTGCTTTTATCAGCCAGCTTCTTTTTCAGAGGGGCACCCACCTTGGGCAGGGTTGGAAAGCAGCGTTGCAAGCAATGCAGCCCTCCGGTTTGGTTGTCACTTTGACGTTACTCCAAGCACGGATCAGCAGCATGTCGGAAGCATTCCCTCTCACCTTAACGCTCAGGCACTCCGAAAGGCACTGCCAACGGGGACGGTCCGCCCTTCGTGCAGTTCCTCTTCGAAGCGGGCTACGGTTGCAAGGACTGCCCCGGACGAGCGGGAGCCGTGGGCGTGACGCAGCCACGGCGCGTGGCCGCGTTGGCAACCGCGAGGCGAGTGGCGCAGGAACTAGGCGTGCGGCTTGGGGGGGAGGTGGGCTTCCAGGTGCGGTACGACCGGCGAGTATGCGGCGATGGCGCGATCAAGTTCATGACGGACGGTATTCTGTTGCGGGAGGTGCAGGTGAGAGGAAAGTATAGAAGTTCCAGTTTTTGGATCACTAAGCCGTGTGAACACGAAGTCGAAGGCCGGGGAACGGATGCGGTTCGCTTTGGGGGTAGGTGGATTTTGGAGTAGAGAGCGTGAGTATCTGGGTCCGAAACTGTAGAACGACCTAACCATATATGCAGCTTCAACTTTGTCTGATGAAGTTATGGAATTCTCAGGCGAGACTATTTTGCCGATCCATAATTCATGCACAAATCTTTTGCCCTTGCATCTGCTTCACCCACGTCTTCGCTTGAAGAGCACGCCAGTCGCGTGCACAGTCAGGGCTATTCTGCTGGATCTATCTGGGCTCTCTTCACTCACATTAGTTCAAATACTCGCCCCGTTCACCCTGGGCTTCTTCCTAAGTACCTTGTCCACCTCTGTGCAGTCGGACTTTTTGCTGCGGCAGTACTCGTGCATTATCATCGACGAGGCCCACGAGCGGAGCCTGAACACGGATGTCCTCATTGGGCTGCTCTCCAGGATTGTGCCTCTGCGCAGGGTGAGTCGGACGTCCGTTTCCACTTAGCGAGCAGACTTATCCAGTCAAGCATCCCGCATGTTTTGGCGTATCTTTGTCTTGCACTTGTTCAAGTGGACCCTCAAGGTCGCCTCTCTCTGACTGATGCTGTCTTGCTACTGGCCTCTGCTTGGCTGCAGCAATTGACGTTTGAGCGGCTCTGATTGCACCTCCTGTAGCTTATGCCATGTATTCTTTCAGTGCTGCACAAATACCTTGGCTCATCAGCTCAAAGTGTGTCGCCGATCATTTCTGAAACGATTGATTCTCTTCGCTGCAGCAACTGTCGTCGGAACGGGCCGACGTACACCCCCTGAAGCTGATTGTCATGAGTGCCACGCTGCGCATCGAGGACTTTGTGGGCAACGCGCGGCTGTGCCCCGCCCCGCCGCCCGTTGTCAAGGTCGCCGCGCGCCAGTTCCCGGTGACGGTGCACTTCAGCAAGCGGACGGAGCTGGTGGACTACGTCGGGGCGGCAGAGCAAAAGGTAGGGCTTCTTGTCGCCGCCAATCTCGTGTTTGGTCGTTGAAATCACTTGGTAAACTTTCGAGCCTTCCATAAAGAAGATGTCAAGGTTCAAAGGTGGCAGTCCAGTTCCCGGTCACGTCGCACTTCAGCAAGCGCTGGGAGCTGGTGGACTACGTGATCGCGGCCAAGAACGAGATACGGCTTCAAACCGCCGCTTCTTCGTGTTTGGGTGTCGGGACTCTACTAGCTCTACGATTTGAGATTTCAAAATAGATCGACCGTGGTCGCGCGCCAGTTCCCGGTTATGGTGCACTTCAGCAAGTGGACGGAAATTGGATCTCGAAATTTATAGGGGCCCAGAACAGAGAAAACCAGGTTTTGATGCCGTGCGCTAAACTCCTGGTTTCGTTCCACTTCCGCGAGCGAAAGGAGCTGTGTGGGCTGCGTGGGAGTGGCGGGCGTTAGCCTCGTTGGTTTCCCAGGCTTTTCGTAAACCATATTTTGTCTTCCACTTTCGCAGGTACGTGCCATCCACAAGCAGATTCCTCTCAGACAATTGCTCGTCGGCCTCGTTGGTCGCCTGAGCTTTGCGTAGACCTGATTGCTTTTCTGCTTGCGCAGGTACGTGCTATCCATAAGCAGCTTCCTCCCGGGGGAGTGCTCGTCTTCCTCACCGGACAGCGCGAGGTGGAGGACCTGTGCCGGCGACTGCGGCGGGCCTTCCCTGTCCGGCGTACGAAGCCCTCAAACCTCACGGAACCCGCGAAGAAGAGCTCAAACCGGGGAGGTAAGGCGGCGGAAGCAAAGAGCGGGGGAAAAGAGGGAGAGAGCAGTCCGCTGGATGATGACGTCATCGGGGCCGCTGCTGACGGGGATGACGTGGAAGGTGGGTTAGGGTTTGGGCGTGACGAGATGGACGGGGACGGTGACGGTGTGAATGGGGCCGCGGAGGGCGAGGACGCGGACGGGGAGCCTGCTTCCGGGGCCGATGTACACCCACCGAAGACAGGCAATGCCAAAACTGAAGATCACGAAGAGCAGGAAGAAAATGGAGGGAAGGCTCAGACTGGAAAAGATGGAAGCGAAGATTCAGAGTTGGAAGGCGAAGACGACCGCCCGGGTCCGCTCCACGTGCTGCCGCTCTACGCGATGCTCCCGGCCGCGGCCCAGCTGCGCGTTTTCGTTGACCCGCCGGAGGGCCACCGCCTGGTGGTGGTCGCCACGAACGTGGCCGAGACGAGTCTCACTATTCCGGGGATTCGGTACGTCGTGGACTGCGGACGAGCGAAAGAACGGACGTTCGAACGCGGCAGCGGACTGTCCAAATTCGAAGTGAAGTGGATAAGCAAAGCGTCGGCGGACCAGCGCGCGGGGAGGGCGGGGAGAGTCGGCCCGGGGCACTGCTACCGGTTGTATTCGTCGGCGGTGTTTACGGACCAGTTCCCGCAGCACGCGCCGCCCGAGATCGAGAGCGCGCCGATCGAGGGAGTCGTGCTGCAGATGAAGGCCATGGGCATCGAGAAGGTGGGCACCTGTGGAGCTTCTACTTTGTTGGCCGGAACCCCCACTTCAGATGAGAATGATAGGTACCTACATTAATCTCAAGAGCTGCTTTTGGAAATGGCGAAGTGTTATCCTCGCTCCGGACGATTTATTGCACACTTATTCGATCACTGTACTGTTCATGATCGTGCCTCAGATCTCCCTTCGCTGCCTGCTTTCGGCAGCTCAAGAAGATTGTTATTCTTATGTTCAACAGAGCAACGAATGACAGCGACAGTTTGATGCGTTTGCACTGTTCGCTCTGCTTGGCTCCAGCTTGCATTTTCACAGATGGTTGAGGCTCTGCCGGAACCTAAGATGCTTTTTATTTTTCCTTGCAGGTCGTGAACTTTCCCTTCCCCACGCCCCCTGACCGCTCCGCCCTATCCACTGCCGAACGCACCCTCGTTTCCTTAGCCGCACTTTACCCAACTTCGACCACGATCACTACCCTTGGCAAAGCCATGTCCTCGTATCCAATCAGCCCCCGCCACGCGCGCATGCTTTTGGCCGCGCTTGGAATGGGCGAAAACCCCAAAACCCCGAAGAAAGGGCTGCGGCTGTTGGCGCACGCGGTCGCGGCCGCGGCCGCTCTGAGCTCCGAAAGCCCGTTCTTACGCGAAGGGTTTGAGGGTTTAGACGCTAAAAGTGGCGAGAGAGGAGGGCCAGAAGAGGCGAATGAAAAGGAGGCAAAAAAAATTTCTGGCGTGGATGACTGGGGCGAGGAAGGGGACGAAATCCGAGCGGAGAAGGCGAGCAAGAAAGCGGAAGACGAGGAGAAGGAGCGGCGGCGGAAGCGACGGGCGGCCGCGCGTGCGGCCCATGCGAAGTTCACAGTTCCCGGAAGCGAGGCCCTGTCAGCCGCGGCCGCTCTGGTTGCGTATGAGGAGTTCGTGCAGGCGGCCGGGGAGAGAGTGGGCCAAATAGGGCCCTCGGCGGGGGAGCAGTTTTGTTTCGAAAACCACTTGCATGCGCGGACGATGAAAGAGATGGCGCAGCTACGGGAGCAGCTGACGCGGCTCGTGGGCGCGAACCTCGCACGGGAGGAAGTAGAATCCGTTCCCGGCGTCGGCCCCGATACCGCGGAGAAGAGCCCGGTTCTAACCCGACAGGCGCGCGAGAAGCGGAGCGTCGAACGGTTGGAAACGGCCCTCCGGGAGCCGCTCGGAAAGGGCGACGAGGCGAAGCTGCGCCGCGCGATTTGCGCCGGATGGGCGGATCGGGTCGCTCGGAAACTGCGTCCGGGGGAGAGCGTACCGGGCGAACTAGAGGCGGAGAAGTCGCGGCGCGCAGTGCGGTACCAGGCGTGCTCGGCGCCCGGGGTGGTGTTCCTGCACCCCGGAACGTCTGCGGCCCGGGACGCGCCGGACTTCGTGTGCTATGCAGACTTGGTGCAGACCGAGAAGCGGACGTACATGCAGGTAAGGGATGACGTGTGCAGATGTGAGTCGATTGCTATCGTTGGTTCACCTCAGCTCAGAGTTCGCGCCAGGCAGGAGGGTCCCTGAACACTTGCAGTCCACATTTCAAACAGCGTACCTTCGCTTTCTACGTGAGCTCTCAAGGCGACGTGATGGCGCCTGGGAATTCTCGCTCGTCCGCACTTTGTGCTGCCTATTCTTAATTCCACCGAGCACGTCTCCCTCGACTCCAGCAAGCACCCAGGAGTACAAGGCTGCAACATTTTCCCCTTTTGTAAATCGCTGACCATAAGCTACCGACTAAAAATGGTATTGAGGGCACTCAACGGTACCCCGGAGCCACCTTTGACGCTCTTCCATTGCTTTCGCAGGGCGTGACCGCAGTGGACGTCCGGTGGCTCCCCGTCGAGGCGTCCGCGCTCTGCCAGCTGTCCAAACCGCTCGCAGACCCGCCGCCCTGGTACGAATCGGCCACGGACCGCATCATGTGCTGGATGCAGCCCACTTTCGGCCCGCAGCAGTGGAGCCTTCCGCTCCACGCCACCGAGCTAAAACCGGGGAAGGCCAAAACCGCGGCGTTCGCGGTCGCGCTCCTACAGGGCCGGGTTCTGCAGGGTTTGTTGGCACTGGCGGAGAGTCTGACGGGGCCCCCGACCGACATTCTAAAGCCTGACGCGGCGGGGCAGAAACGCGTGGGCGAGATTTTGGCTCGGCTTGGGGGGGTGGACTCGAGGGAGGCGTTGCGGCGGTGGTGGGAGGGGGAACAGAGGTTTTTGTTCGAGGAGCTGTCGCTGTGGGTGCGCCCGGAGAAGAGGGCGGTACTGGCGGAGATTTGGGAGGGGCTGCTGAGAGAGGCCGGTCTGGACCTGTGACTAGCGGTGTCTAGGAGTGAAAGCTAGCTCAAACATGTTCAGCAGTTAAAGTACCAAAAATTTGAGCGGCGTAGGATCAGGTCTAGCCTTAAGCTAATTCGGGCCTATAACTTGGCCGGTCTGCAGGTTTTGCAACGATTGGATGAGTCGAGCACCACATTCGTCAATCAGCTGTCGTACAGGTAAGTATGAAATATATGAATCGCGCTTTGACCGATGATTCTGGTGGCATTCTGGCATGCCATGTTCGACTTTGCGCATAATACCTGAAGTACTTGTATTAGCTTCATTTTGGCCGGCGGTATGCCGCATAAGGTACAGATGCGTGTCGCAAATACCTATGCATGTCAATGGTACAGGTGTTTGCGCAGATGTGTGAAAGCAACATTAGCTGCAGGCTCAAAGGCTCCATCGATGTGGGTCAAATGATTCAAAGCCGGGCTAGCTACCCAATCAAGCCGGGATGCAACCATGCACGGCCCGCCCGTGCAACCGTGATGCATGGCAGCGTTTCTAGTCGATCTAGCTTTTGGAAGGGCGCTCGCATGTTTAGCGGCGTGCGCGCATGCAGTCGCAGATGACGTACTAACAGGTCCCGACATGTTCAAAGAGCTGGCGATTGTCGTCCCATTATAATACGTCTTGCATTGCGCTCAAACATACGCAGATCACTCATGTGCCGCGTGTCGGACAGCATCGTCAATGCAGTCATGAAGCGCACAAACTTCGTTATTTCGTAAAGAACTCGCATGCCGCAGACCTTTCGAAACTTTGTAATCATTGCACATGCACTCTGCCAAAAAAGCCAACGCCGAAATATTAGCTTGTGTGTTCTTTAGGGATTGCGTTACTCGAGGTGACGCTCAAATAGGTTGCACATGTTGTGCTTCCATGGCGTCAATAAGCTGCTTCTTCAGAAGCAGAGTGACCTGCCTCGCAAATGCTCATTCAGAACAAGAACAGCTTGAGCCGTGCAGCCTTATCTACCGGAATTGATGGTCCGAGCGTGTGATTGGCGACAGGAAGACTTTTCGAGAGTATCACGCGCGGACCGGTCCTTTCGAAGCGGATACTGTTTGATCTGACTTATTACCGGACAGAATCCTTTCTAAGCCGAATTTACAAGAAATATGCTCCTTTTTACTTGGCAAGGATCCCATTTACTCCCTGTGACCGCCGCCCGCTTCCTCCAAGTAGCGAGTCTCTTGGTGCGCCTGGATCGGCGCAACGCCTGTGCAGATCCTGTGGAAACAGAAGATGATTCAGCGTTTGAATCGTCTTGAGTCGAAAGTTCCGTGCAAGCTCATTGGATGCAACGTCATCTACGACAGTGATCAACAACAGGTCTCCACATCCATCCAAAGGAGCCCGCACTCTTCGATTTTTCGTTCCGGTATGCGTATTGCTTTACCGCTCCACATACTACTTGCACCTATGGAAGGCGGAGCAAGCACATGAAAACTGCCCACGTGTAAAAAGAAGGAAAAGATACCGCACACAGATACCGTTCCACTTTCCGAATGTTAGATTAATAGCTCCGTCTAACCCAGGCAGTTCGAAGGCCTTACAGAAGCGTCGCGTTTTCTCGCCTCCTAACCCTCCTTCGTCCGGCATCCGCACTTCGCACGAGACGACAGCTTACCAGAGGGATCCCCCCGCCTAAGGCTTGCGCACCGCGCGCGCGTTGTTGGACATGAAGCGCAACCAGCCGTAGTAGGCGCCCGCGAACACCCCGGCGTGCGTCAGCACCTGCGCCGGGCGCACCTTCTGGTTGTCCGCGCCTGTCTCGATCGGCTTGCGGTCACCGGGGATCTGTACCGGGAGGAGCAAAGGACGTAATATCGTATTCCTGCTTTGATGCTACAGGCAACGCTATGATTTTGCGTGAAACTTTTGTACGGTTCACGGGATCTGAAGGAGCAAAAGCGAAAAATGCTTCCTTTTTATTTATCTAGATTTTACTCGGCCTAGAGGTCTGGCCGACTGACTTGAAGTCGCAGACGCAGAAACGTCTCATTCCAGGCCGTCCTCCTGACGGACCGTGAGACCGTGCATCATCATCATCATCATCGTCATCATCATCATCATCATCATCATCGGCTTGCCATCGTCGACACACAGGGGCAAGCATCAAGATGACCCCAGCAGTACTTGTTGTGAGGCCTAAGACATTGATTCACGAAAGCATCTGTCTGTCTTCACGTTTCTAACGTACTCTAATTACGACACGCAAACATGTCAATGAACCGATGTGCCAAATGCACATATAGTTCCTGTCTTTGGAAATGATTTAATGTGAACAACTCTGAGCCACAAACCCACATGGTGGTTCCTTCAGAAGTAACATCTTAAGGACCGAGAGGTGCTTATGTCGATCATGAGGGTACGAGACTCGGAACGCAAAATGTCTTGAGAGTTTTCAATCATTGACAGCATCTTCAAGAAGTAAGGAGCATCATCAGCCGTCTCTTTAAACATCTGTAGCATCTATCTCTCTACAGCCCACCATTCTTGATTCTCTTCCTAGTCGCTGTTCTTTGATATGGGGAAGGATGCAATTGTTCAGCAGGCACCCTCGAGAAGCCCAACAAAGGCACTAGCACCCGTTATTTTGACTACTTTGGGCCTTTAAGCTGAACACTAGCTTGTAGAACGCCTCACTTTGTCCCTCGGGGAACTTTTTGCAGACCAGATAAGGCTCATGCACGAGGAAACGGGACGGAAATTCCTGTCATACTTGACGACCTTTTCGGAGTTCGCAAGAAGAGATAATTGATTGCATGTCACCTTCATTCAACCATCTTACTGTAAGCTGAAGAACACGGCTCCGGTCTGGTTGCATCTGCAAATGAATAAATCCAACCATTCCTCCGTCTTCCTTACATTTTTTTCCAGCTTAATAAGAACGAGAAGCCACATTTCTACCGACATGCAGCACTTTCTCACCGTTAGGAGGAACCCCGGGGCCAACGCAATGAAGAGCACCGTGGGGCCAATGAGCTGCATGAACGCCTGGTTGTTCGCCATTTCGAGACGCGGAACGGAAGACTGCGCAGCGGACTGCTCCGAGACGGCTCCTCACGCTGACTTCGAATGCTAAAGAAAACGAGGGGGAAGGAAGCTCTTCGCGAGGAAAGCCAAAAGCTAAGAAAAACACCGGCTCTTACTGCGATTTCTCGAGCTACGCAGAACAAGCGTTGCAAGAGGCTTCAAGCTGCAAGAAGGTGGCTCTCTCCTGCAGACTGCCAAACCATCATAAGTTCATACTCAAAAGCAGGCACTTTTATTTCTGCTACTCGAATTACGATCTTCGTCAGCAAGGTACATCGAGTCCGGAAGCCTAGCTTCATGTCAAACGCCTGACATCAGCAGTCTGTGATGACTCTGCATGCAATGGAAATAAGATCACCAGACGTTATATGGCCTGGACACTAGACGCACTCATGTAACATTGCAGGGCGCGCACTTCAGACTCAGCCGCAGCGTCAGCTCCGTCCGTGACCGGGGCTCGTTGAAAAATGAGCAAAAGTTGACCCTTCGATGTCCCAGAATGCGCTCATCTGACGGCCCAGCTTTGAATCAGAACGGGTTTGACTCGAGACGGCCAGATTGTCAAGCAATGCAATTTGAATTCTGAAAGTTGGATCCCTCGTGGCAGGCCATGCTCGAGGGTCCTGCAGCATTTGCGGTGCTCATTTTCGAAGCTCAAGCCTCTTCAGCATTTGCCTTGAGCACGGAATCTGGTATCAATCTTGGAATGCTGCAAGTAATTTGGTTTGCAAGCTGAGTGAACTTTGAAAAGAGACGTTGAAAGTGCGTTCTTGTAGCAGATGATGAGACAGCTGAAGCTGGTCTATACGGGTGTGCTGCGGGGATGCTTTCAGGCAATGAGCGCCATTCCAGACGCTTTAAGTCGTTTCCATCTCAGTCATTTCAACGAGCAGAGTCTTGCACACTCCATTCAGTATACATGCGGGTTCTCTTATGTGTTATACGACTTCCGTGCTTTTCTCTGTAAGCTTGCTTCAGCAATCCGCTTGGCGCTTGAAGTCATCCACAAAGATTTTCTGTTGAGGAGGTAGAAATCGCAGAAACGATCAAGCAATTGCCCTGACAAGCCTCCTGAGGTTCGAGACATCCTGTAGAGATGTCTGTCGGTCAGTCAGCAGAGCATCATGGCTGTGAGAGGAAAAGTATCCAGCGGGACGAAGAGCTGGAACGTTTTCAGCACGAAAGGCGGCGAGATCAGAGTCAGGAAGTAGATATGAGTGGAATTCGCTCGCATGCCTTTGCTTTGTCTGAGAAGTCAGAGGGGAGGTACGACGAGTTGCTGCACCAGATTGGCGACGCAGAAATAGTGCTGATTGGAGAGTCAACGCATGGAACTCGCGAGATGGCGGAAGAACGCTGCAAGATTACGGAGCGACTCATTGAAGAAAAGGTAAGCAAAGGGAGGCCTTACTCTATCCAGAAGCTTGCTTGAGGACTCTGCTTAAATTGTTGACAACTTTGCACGGTAAATAAGTGTCGCACGGAAAGCTGAAACCCTTGTGGCCTCTAGTAGAAAAAGCGGTCCTTTCTAAGCGGAAAAACATTCAGGGTTAGGGAAGCAGATTTAAGGTGCACGTAATTTCTGCGCGCACATGCAGAAGATACAGCATTACAATAAGCGGCCTTTGATCAGCACTACTACTATAGATTGATCGTACATCGTTCCTGCTGATCAATTGTCATATTACTTATGAGGCGTTCAAATTCAGATATGATACGCATAGACCCTAATAAAATGAGTGACCTTCGCGTCAGCACTTCACTTCTATTCATCACCTGTTGCTTTTTGAATTAAAAATCCAGAATCAAAAGACAATCGAAGAATATATTCACATTCAATCACCCTCGCGGCACGGCTCAGATCCACGATTTTCTCTGGAATAATCATAGTAAGCTCAAGTTGTAGTAAGAACGAAGCTAATAATAAAAACCTGAACCCACATACTCACCCGCTCTGCACCCGTACCCACCCTAACCACCTTACTAACCCTACCCGTCCCAGTACAATAACCCGAGCTGACTATACCAGATCCATAGGCATAAGATCCACGCCCCAGAACTTGCGAATTCTGGAGATCCATTGCCACAAATCTTCGATCTGCCGGAAAGAAGCGATTCTGTGTTAAAAGCTGACCGCCCTGTTGCAGGGCTTCTCGCTGGTGGTTCTTGAGGCGGACCTGGTCGACATGGACCGCGTGGACCGCTACGTCCGCGGCGCGTCGCGCGACGACAGCGCGGCCGCGGCGCTCTCGGGGTTTAAGCAGTACCCGCTCTGGATGTGGCGCAACACGGTCATGGAGGAGTTCGTGGAGTGGGCCAGGCGACACAACGAGTAAAGCTATCTTCCTTTCTGTGCGTCTGAAGGAGCTCAGAAGATTAATTACTTCCAGCATTCATTGAAGCAGAAGATAAACGAATCAAAGAAGACAAAAAAAGGGACACGCTCTGAAACAATGCAGTTCTAGCCGATGCGAAGCCGTCTTTTATCTCCACCTCTTCTTGCCCTTCGAGCTTGTTCTTCGCTAGATTGGAAGTTCTTCGTAGCCAGATGTCCAGCAGAGCGTCACGCTGAAAAATCTCCGCCAAAACGGCAACCGTAGATTGCCTAATCAATTCATGAGAGTGTTTGATTCCAACGCTTCTATGCCGCCTGATTTTCCCTCTGGTCTCATACATGCAGAACGATATTTTCGGGAGGGAAACCGAGCGGGTAAGTCAAGCCAGTGTGAGTCAAAGGATCTAGCAAGCAATCCCGTTTTTATTCGCAAGCAATTCGGTTTCCGTCTTCCTTTTGATTGATGCCGAAAGTCAGTCAAGGATGTGTCGAGGTGGATAAAGGGTTTCAATATGTATTCTACGGGACTGCGGCAATGCATACACGACTTTTTTGCATCATCAAAATTCTCTTTTGCAACGGTAACTTCTATTCACGAGCGCATGTAGGCAGAACTTTGCTCCTAGAATCACTACATGATAGAAAGACCAGTCTCTTCTTCGGATTACCACTTTGACGTCGACGAAAGCGGTTCGTGCAGAACCCGAGAATTGAATAATCAAAGCAGAACGTTAAATTCTTCCGCGAAGTCTTCAATTAATTTGGTCGCTTGAGGACAATCTAAAGAAACGGATGACAACCTGACAATGGAATGCTCTCCAGACACGAAGTATCTCTCCACGGCTTCGACTTGCACCATCTGTACCAGTCGATGGAATGCGTCATCGAGTACCTGCAGAAGAAAGATCCCAAAGCGGCGGAGAGAGCCAAGTGAGATCTCGGTCTTATGGTCGCAATCTCAGTTTTGGTCTTTCTTCAACCTACTCCGCACCACTTGCCCAAAGAGCCGTATGCATTACAACAGCAGCTCTCGTACTCTCTCGCAACAAGCAGGACGTCACGACCTCGAAGGACTTCAAAAACCTTTCCCTCACCGTAACTCGCATCGTATGTCGAGTCTCGAGTAGATTCTAATCTCAACATGATATCGCTTGCTTTTCCAAGCGCTGGGGAATCGACCTCGATTTTACGTCACGTATTATATAAACAAGTCCTCTCCGGAGTCTTCGTGTTCTTTCTCCTGAAGGTATGAGAAGCACGTCTCCTGTAAGAAGCCAGCCTCTTAAGTACAAAAACATCCGTCCGACGGAAGTTCTTCTCTTGCTTGCAGTTGCTTACACCGCATGTCTCTCATTCTTCCGATCCGTACTCAATTCTTTCTTGCATCGGCAAGTAGAGGAAAAGGGAAGATATGCCTTCTCAAGCGGTTCAATTTTGAAGCGAGCGCCGCCTCTCGGACGTCTATCCTGACAGGACTTGTAAGTAGTGGAAGTTACTTCTCGCGTTTGGCTGCTGCTATAACGACCGCAAACTCTTCCTTCTCTCAAAACTCTGCGCGGGTGCATGCCAGGCAGCGCTACGCTGCGATCGCCCAATTCGCCCCCGACCCGCACGAGTACGGCTTCGCCGCGGCCGCGCGCGCGCAGCCCATCGGCGAGCCTGACGTCACCTGCGAGCTGACGGAGCTGCGCCAGATGGGACCCGCGGCCGCGTCGCGGGCCGACGCGCGCGGCGCGCGGTGCCAGGACGACGAGCACCACTTCGCAATCCTGGTGAGAAGCGGATCGAGGAATTTATGACTTGTTTCTCCAGAAAAGTGTCTGCTAGGGATTCAGCTGCGATGATGCTGCCAATATGCCTGCGTCAAAGCGGAGTGAGCGCCCTCGTTTAATCGCACAGCGCGCGCTCTCTTGATGCGCGCATTGGGAAAGGGCGGAGCTGTTTCTTTATAAAGCTCTTCACATCCCTGTGACGCGAGAGAATCCTGCTTTGCTGCTTGGCAATCTAAAGTGATTTTTTCATCGGTAGCTTTGCCCCACGACTCATTGACACAAAACTTGACCCGTTGAAAACAGCTCGATATTTTCTTGCAGAACGGTTTGGCAGTGCGGAACGGAGCGGCGTACTATCGGAAGGTGTACGAAGCGTACGAAGCGGCGTGGAGCGTCCGCGACCGGCACATGTTCGAAACACTCGTCGGTGAGCAGCCTCCGAGAGACTTTCCTCCGATTGAAAACCCGCCTTGAAAGCACCGCTGATATGAGGGTCTTCTTCTGGGCAAACCTCCTTGCAACGTCGTCAGGCGTGGATGGGCATAATTTTCGGAGTGCTATCACAGCTAAGAATAGTAGCTCGCGCCAGATAGGGCTAAAAATGTTGACGTTGCTGAAATGACATTCCTTGTGACGTCAGCAGGTGTTGAACATTCTATACAAGTCAATAAACATTCAATAAGCAATTCAATAAACATTCAATAAACATACAAGAACCCCTACCCTTCTCTGCGGCTCACGCGAGCAGTGCTGTCCGCAGAGCTGAAGGAGAACTGCGAGCGGCGGTGCGGGCGGCCGTGCAAGGTCGTCGTGTGGGCGCACAACTGCCACGTCAGCGACGCGCGCGCGACGGAGATCGCGTGGGACTGGCACCAGATCAACCTGGGGCAGCTGGTCAAGGAAAAGTACGGGGACAAGGCGCTCATCATCGGGTTCAGGTACACGTTTCTTCTTCCTTTCCGCGCATGTCTTTGGAAGAGATCTGAAAGGATGGCCGACCAACCGGAAAGGGAAACGAGAGAAGGATCGAGTAGAAGCTGGCCGTCGGGTTTTCCTTTCAGCATTTTCATCGATATTTTTTTGCCCTGATCTGCGTCTTTGCCAGAATCCTGGCGAGGAATAGGCGTCTGAGCGTTCGCACCTCGCTCGAGACCTTTGAAGGAACGGAAGCCTTTCTTCCTGGCCGTTTCGCAAGATCAGGTCTCGCCATCTTGCTTTGTCCTGTACTCAACCTGACCAGACTTTAGCGTCGTTACTTTCACGACTCCAGTCCCCTATGTGAGGATACTCTGCACTTCAAAATTCGCCCTCCATTCGAAACTTCAAGTAAGAGCGGCGAGAGTGTACCCCAATGATGCTTCGTGAAATTTGTTGCTGGCCTTTTGTAGTCCTGTTTTGCGTCTGTTAAATGCCCCTCACCCATCTGGTAAAGCAACCCATTCCTCCTTTGTAGCACCCACTACGGCAGTCTGACGGCGGCGCCTGACTGGGGCGCACCGGGCCAGTGCGTGCGGCTGAAGCCGTCGGTTCCCGGTACTCTAGGCTCGGTACTAAACCAGGTAGGCCCCAAACGATCCCTCTCTTTTTGATGGTAGTGGTACGACCGGCGATTTTTGGTTGGAATGCTTCCATAAAATGGCCGACCACTGGATGCTGTACCAGATTTAGCACCACCAAAAGTAGAAAGTGTCTTTGATAAACATGCGTCCGCAGCCTTTCGTCTAAGTGTCCAAGCAGAGGTGCCGACAGTCGTTCTTTTTCCAAACAAATCCTCTCATCCAGTTGCCTGTTTACTGCATGATCTGGAGAGAAGGAGAGATGCGAAGGATAATGACCAGCATCCTTCCGTTCCCTCCAGGTGTCGCCCGCGCCGTTCCTACTAGATTGTACCCGCGTGGAGCCCCGGGAGCTTTGCATTTGGAAGAGGTCCATCGGCCTCGTATACCGAGAGGACGGGGACGAACGCGAGAATTACTACAGAGCGAATGTGAGGCGCTTGATGCGCTCGATCTAGTCAAAACCTTTGTTGCGCTTGATTGACAGACGACGCGTCGGGTTTTTATTTCACCTTGGGTCTGGACAAACTGCCACCGCATTTTAGGGTAGTCAATATTCGAAGCCCACAAGGAATGTCGAAAGAGGGGGAAGGATATTGACCATTTTGCATCAAGTAGACTTGGAGCTCAGACGTAAAGCCTGTAAAACGGTATTCTAAGCACTCAAGCATGTGCTGGTAGCTGACGAGTATGATACAATCATAGCAGGTTCTCAAGTGTTCAAGGGAGCGTTTGACGGACGTGTGTCTCATCTATACAGGTCTTCCAGATGTTTGACAAGATCATATTCATCCCCAAGACGAGCGCTGTCGAACCACTGGACAAAGAGTCGGTGTGGAAGAGGCCGGAGAAAGAAGATGAGATGCCGATGACGTACCCACCAGGGATCTAGCCGATTTCCTTGTCGGACATCTCAAGCGCTAGGTCCCAAGGGATGAAGTGAAACTTAGACGGTATAAAAAGCAATTACTTCATCGTTTTATGGTTGTAGCGCTGCTAGGAGGCGAAGTAGTATGTATTTGAAGTCTGGGCCACGTTCTGCATGGGGGTACGAAGGCATCCAGCCTGACTCAGCTAGACGCCCAAGTGGGTGCCAGAGACGTTTGGTTTGGGGGGCCGGCTCTGCCGGCACTCGAGCAACCCCGGCCCATGTCCCTCGCGTGCAAGATCAGAAGATGCCAAAAAATAGACGTCCGAAAACAGTCAATCATTACCGCTCACCTAGCTAGCGTCGTACCAAGCAAATTAGTGCTTTTTCAGTTGATCATTCAAGTCAATGACAGATGTGATCGCATACCTCTCAGTGCATGGCACGCGGCTCTCGATCTGTTATAACTCAGGCAGATGGTTGAAGGCCTCTTAAAAGGCCCTTCGCGCCAACAAGCGTACCATATATGCAGCTATACTCTGTTATTGTATCGGTTGCACGATCGATTCCGAGCCTTCGACAGTCGATTCATCTACACCAAATTTGACATAATTTTGTACGTGAGCGCTATGCATATGCGCACTCGTGCGTGTCCTATAAATTATTCTCTGCCGGCTAAAATGGCCGTGACTCATGACCGGACATACACAAAGAGATCTAGCTTCAAATGGTCGAACCTCTAGCACGTGTCGGATTATGTCATTGTGTACGCGTATCCATCGACTCATATGCCACCCCTCGCTTCATTGCAGGAAGCTCGCGGAAGCGTAAGCTGCTGCCAGTGGCAGGCCGCCCCATGATGTCGTATGCATGGCAGGCAGGCTGCATGTACGGCCAGCATGCTGGTTTAGAAGAATCTTCGACTTAAGATGAATCAAAAGCGGACTCAGTCTTCATGAGGCGCATAAATCATCACGCTGGACATGCGGCGGTTGGCATCGACGGGCGGCCACAAAGTTTCATGCCAGGTCGGGTCAGCTGTAACCACTTCGAAACGGTACGAAGAGAACTCCAAGATAGCCACAGAGATTGCATAATAAACCTCGCGGTCTGATCGTCGACCGGATACGGGCAGCTCAAAGTCTTCGCTCTCGTCTTATGATTCCAAGCTGACGGCAGAGGGGTTTATCAGCGCAATGCATAAAGGCCTGATGTTGACAGCAAGTGACGCAAAGCAAGGAAATAATTGGTATCGATCCCCGTGAATGATCTCATCAAATGCAAACGTCACCGCCGCTGCGTGCCGCTTTGGAGGGGAGACTTCTAGGCTTTGCCGCAAGGCTTCGCTTACGAAGTTCTGGGGGAAAAGGTCCCAGCTTCAGAACTGCAGCCATTCTTGATAGTAGACGCAGGTTGCAGGGGATATCAGGCCGTCGTCCGAGCATTCGTGCAACACCTAGAAAACCCGAGCAATTGTCAGACGAGTAAAAAGCCCACGCATCGCTTCAAGAATTTATAAAAACAACGTCGGCTAGCCGAAAAGCGGTCCAGAGCCGGGGCAATGCTGCTCTGGACGATCCAATGTTTGCTTCTGTGACGCGTGCTGTGCCGATAGAATAGATAAGGTGGGCTCTGGTGGCCGCGAGCGGGGCAGAAAGTATCACCTGAGAATATCTAGTATAGGTGGGTAGACTAGGTTATCCGGCAAAACATATCAAGACAGTGGTTTGGTAAAGGAAGCGAAAGGCGCCACAAACAAAATGAAGGGCCCCGAAGTCTTCATTTCCTGTGCTTGAGACGGCATCAGGTTTCTAAGAATGAACGAAAGTAGATGTTCGGTGCTATTGCGCAGCTCTGAGGGGCGCCCGAGCACCAACAGGCGGCTGCAGACCTCGATTTTGCTTATTCAAACCTATTCCAAAAGTGTGCAACGTGAGCGATTGTTACGACCACGTTCGGGGCCGTGATAACCCACCGCCTCCGTTTCCGCTCGGCACAGAGTCCAAGAAGAGTCCTCAGCGGGAACCTCGAGCAAAGTAATCGCCCGCAAAAACCTCGTCGGGCACACTCCGAAGGGACCCTCAAGCAGAGGATGCTGCCAATCGGCCGCAACCGAGGAGAAAAGCCAAAAGAAAAGAGGAAAAACGAACAGATGTATAAAGGAAGCGCATAGGGGATCCCATACCGGGCACACCCCGCGCGGTATCGATGTGAATGCGTTCGTCTGGCGAACGTGCCCGGCCGTCCGCGCCCACAAAATAAAATGGAAAAAGGAGGAAAGGAAGAAGAAAAAGCGGCCGGGGGAGGTCTCACCGGGCACACTCCGCATGGTATCGACGTGAAAGCGTTTGTCTCGGGGACGCTCATGGGCGACATCCGATAGAACGTCGTGTCTGCGTCCTCGTCGGGGTCGAACTCCGAAATCTCTTCCACTTCGCCGTCGTATACCAGCGTGTTCGCCACTTGCTGGTAGTCTTCCAGTCGGAGGTCGACCTGGGAGAACGGGGCTGACGTCAGAACGTGACGTGAACAATGCTGGGCTGGAAAAAAGAGGACACTATGATTCCTGATGTCGCAGATTCTATACCAGCGTGTTCGCCACCTGCTGGTAGTCTTCCAGTCGGAGGTCGACCTGGGAAAAGGGGGCTTACGTCAGAACGTGACGTGGCAAAGTGCGGAGCCGAAAAATGGTTACTTCTTTTGACTTCGACGATCGCATTCTACCTTGTTTCGTGTTCGCCACTTGCTGGTAGTCCTCCAATTGGAGATCGACCTGGGAGAACGGGGCTGACGTCAGAAAGTGACGTGGGACAATGCTGCGCTGAAAAATATAGTCTTCCTATTCCTTGATCTCGCCAATCGAGTGTTAGCGTGTTCGCCACTTGCTTGTAGTTTTTGAGTCGGGATCGACCTGGCCGAAAGGGCCTGACATCAGAGCATGACGTGGCAACATGTGTGGGAAAACACTGCTTACGATCCATTGAAGACCTTCTCCAAAGACATTCGGAAGATGAGCTCGACAGAGTGAGTCGCGTGAGGGTGCGATTCGAGAGTGAACGGTCCACTGTGACGCCCAAAGAGCGCTGCTGAACGGAAGTCGCCGAGAAGCCAAAAGTGGTGCCTTAGAGAGAATCCGACTTCACGAGAATCTGATCTGACGAGCAGGATTTGGAGCAGGATTTGGATTAGCAAGGTTCTAAAAGGACTCTCAATATCAAGACTTTCAGGACTCTTGCTCAGGTCTAAAACAAGTGGATTCCTACAGTGCATGAAATAGGTAATGGAATATGGAAGCAAGGATGAGGAATCCTTTTCCTCCCCACCTTGGTCGCGCCCGACGACTTGACGAACGCCGCAATCTCCTCCAGCGTGACCTTTCCCTGGTTCTCCACGAACTTTTTGACGGCCTCGCGCAGCACTCCGATGAACTCCGCGTCAAATTCCTGTTCCGTGTACCAAGCTCCGCCCGTGATCTCGCGCGACGGCTCGATCTCGTACAGCATGTATACCTTGCGGTTCTTGCTCTGCGCAGAGAGGATTTGGGTTAGGATCTTGACGGGACTTTGACGAGATTATGAGGGGTTTATCTATTTTCTGTGGAGAGTCCGAGCGTCTGATGGTGGGGCGCAGGAATATCGTGGAGCATGGACAGTTCACTTGAATCTTGCTGTGCCCCGCGGGAGCGAGAACGATCGACTTCTTTAAGTTTGAGATTTGCATCGTTCTTGACGTTGTGACGATTCGGGACGGCTGATAACCTACAACAAGTAACGCTGGCTGTTTTTTTGTCCTGCGGAGGGCGGAGTTTGTCTCGTTTCCAATGCATTCAAATAAGATTACGCGGTAGTTCACATCCCAGCAACGTGAGGAACAAGCAAAAGATGTGCTGGACGAGAGAAAGCCGGGCTGTGTATACACCCAATCCAATCGTCACTCCTCTGGCGCGTTATCAAACACGGATTATTTGCTTTGCGAAGCAGCCGCGTGAGGTCCAGACGGCGTAATATCTGTGATAAGGACGGTGTAAGCTGGCTTCGTTGAGCTTCGTTAGAAACTCGGAGATTCGTTCTCGCCTTGGTCTGATGCTCCTCCGAACCCCAAACAAGTTGCAGACCTGGAGACTGCTGCCTGATTGAAGACAGTGATAGCAGGTAACAGGTGCGACACTCGTTTCGGAGAGCTGGGCAGGCAAACGATTGTGTCGAAAACTTGAGAAAGCGCTTTTCACATTCTCTGACGGGGTTAATAGGTGGCTTACCGCAACAGATTTGACCGCCTTTATCAGCCGCCGCCCCTCGAGCGTCTTAATAATTTTCGTGATCTGCGGCTGCTGCAGATTGCTCCGCAGCTTTAGATCCCGGGTCCAGATACCTGGAGGAAGGTTATGGTATAACCAAGTGAGTTGGTGATCGTCAACTGCGTAAGTTAGCTCCTAACTTAGCTGATTAGCAAGACCCGCAAGAAGCTGCCAGTACTTCAAACCAGCGGCAGCTTTTTGAAGATGTTGACAGAAGCGAGGCGGTGGGGTTTCGGGCACAGCAGGTTAGCCGGACGCGAAACTCCGCCCCAAAGAATAACCAAAAGTGAAGATGAGTTTCATGCACAGTCTTGCTTGCCTCACCCATGTTTTGCGACGCCTGGATGATCTGATAAACCAGCATTTCTTCGGATCCGAGGCCCCGGAAGCGCACCCGATCCTCCTGCAGAGGGGAAAAGTCACGATAAGCAGCCGCATGGATCTGAGCGCACTATGGAATTGATAAGGACTTCAACACGACAGACCACCCGAAATTCAGGGTCATTACCTGGTTCTGATGAATTTCAGGAGAGCCAATGCCAACGACGACCTGCTGGATACTCACATGAGTAAGGGCATCTGGTCGAATCACACGTAGAAGCAAATCCTCACAAGACAAGTTTAGACAGATAAAGTTCGATGGTTCACCACGCCAACCATGGGCTTGCTTCTCTGCGCTGCACACTCTCGGACAACAATCAGATCTCGGGTCAAGGTAACCCACCTGGTTGACTGGCTTGTAGTAGAGCGTGCTGGCCTGTGTGTACATTTGCAGCTGGTGCCGCGACAGCAGCACATTGAGCGCGGACCCCAGCTCCTCGAGCGGAATGTCCGGCAGCTCATCCTGGAGCATCTTCTGGGTGACGCCCTGCCCAGAAAAAAAGGATATTCAGGACAGTTGGTTTGCTTGTGACTTCAGGAAACTTGGTTTGATTGTGACTTTGTGGCTTGTTTCCATCAAAAAATGTCTGTCTGTGATATTGGAGCCGAACCAGTCGTTCGGTGGATCTTAGCGGCAGGTAACACTTACAACTGGACTGTAATTGGACCATCTTCTGGGTGACGCCCTGCGTAAGAAAGATAAACGATTGGGAATCCCTACTTTGATATTGCGCCCCCTCACCCCCACTCCCCCCAGAAATATGATATCCATCTCTGAGTGACTCAAAACACTCGTCAGGCAACTCATAGCGGCAGGTGACGCAGACACATTTGATGAGACTGCCACAGAACTGGTCCAGCGGGAAGTCGAGGCAACTGGTCCTAGAGCATCTTTGGGTGACGTCCTGCGCAGTAATGGATAGACGTCAGGCAAGTTATGAAGCAGACAATCCAAACGTGGCTGTCTGCGATCTGTGTGAACAGTGTGAGTCTGCGGCTTGTGTGAGCAGCGTATTCCTTTCAAATGGGTTCACTGACAGAACTTTAAACACTGTGCGCCTGCGGGGCCCTGGCAGACTTCTGTCGAGGCCAGCTGTAATTTAAGCCCAGCTTGTGATGAAGTATTGGCTGACGAGTCTCAGAAGTATCGGTGTAATTGGAAAAAGCTACTTTATGCTCGACAATTCCCTTGGACATTCTTTTAACAATTCACAGAAGTCTAAACATCACATACATTCACCCACTCGATGAGGGCTTCCCATTCGTCTCTTGGACTTTACAGCTGCGCCTTTTGGAATATTTGGAAAAGAGGCAGTTGCCTAAGTGGTGGCAATAGATCTCACCAAACCATAACGATTGCAGCTGAGATCTTTCGCAAGAAAATCCCAAGGAAGGGCACTTGCAAGCTGCTTCTTAAACGAGCTTTGTCTCCAAATGGCATCTTGCGTCCCCCCTTACCCCATCGCTTTCCTGACACAGGTTCGCGATTGCTTCCTCCAACCGGAACACCGCCGAGTCTGGGTCCGCTTTCGCCATCCGCACGTCCAGCTCAAATGCACGCCTATCTCTCTATGTGTCCACCTTGCTTTGAGAAAGCTGCCGCTTTATAGTCCTCGTAAACAAGCTCACTGGCGATGGCGCCCTATGAGTAGCATGAGCTTTGAGATTACGAACCACGCTTTAAAACCTTATGCGGCGCCAAAGTACAAGTGAGTGGTGTGCAGTGAATGATCAGGAGGCTTGTACATAGAGCATTTGCTTCCACGCATCACATCATCAAAGCTCTTCACGAACTTGGATTGGCTTGGTGGAGTTCAGAGCTCAATACGAACCGCAATGCTCTTGCTGAAAAATGTCTCATTGATGCTTGGAGCCAAGCTTCTGTCTTCCATAGTGGACCAACAACGTGTTGGCCTGATCAGCAGACAACTAGTTCATCAACAGGGCAGCAAACGAACTGATCAAGCTGTGCATGAGGGAGCTACAGTTCTACATAGCACGGAATGCTGTGCTTGCCAATGCGCCATTCCACCATGCTCAAGATTCAGAAATGCCGCCAAAGCTTGCCAGCGTAGCTGGAATTGGAGGTGTGCAAAGAATGTTGGTCATGCTAAGTTCCCCTTGAAAACCCTACAAAGACCATTACCACACCCACCGCGACTAAGCTGGCCGTTACCACCCGTGTTTGCAATTCAAGCGTTACGTACCCTTTTCCTCTACCGCAAGTCTACTTCAACCTCTCAAGCGCCCGAGTCCAAGCGTAACGCGGAGAGAAGGAAGCCTCTTGCGCGCCCCTTCTCCTACCTCTTTCGCCAAGCAGGTTGATCGGCGCGATCGCTAGGAGCCTGCGGGGCGGATCTCCTCCAAGCTGCAGCCATGGTAAGAGACCTCTCTCCTCCCCTGTCTGCCTTAGCTACCTCTAAGTGGCCATGTGTACCACTTTGTGTGTTTTGAGGGCCTGCGGTGCAACGTCGATTGTGCGAAGCCGCTCCGAGTTTCTCAATGATTGAATGAATGGTAGCAGAGCTGCAATGAACAATCATGAGGAGTAGACGGGTGTTTTTGGCTTTGTGTGCTATATGCACGTGATGCCTTTAGGAGCATATTTTTGCATTTGTCAGTTTGGTCCGCATAAGTGTCTTTGTTGGGCCGAAGCATGGGCTATTGCACCTGGACCATCTGGTGATAAGCCAGTGTGGGTTTACTTTAGCATGTGACCCAGCGCCTTGGTAACGGTTGCCCGGATCATCATAGAGTGCAGAGATGTTGGAACTGTAGGGGCAATCTGGTAAAGGTCTGTCAGAGGTCGTGTGACAGCAGAAAGGATAGCAGAAGATTTGGGCCAGTGGAGAGCTCTCTTTGCAAGATGCGCAGACATTGCACAGAAGCGGGTCCATGTCGATGGAAAACGAGAAGCGCTTATGTGGGCTGGAGGATTCGGGCTGGCTAGAATGGCAGGGCATCGGAGCAAGCATTAATTTAGCTGTGGGGCCAAAACTGAGTTCTGTCACCATCGATGGGCATACTGCTCATTCTGCGCCGAGTAGAAGGGTTTGAGCCCAATCAGGCAACTTCTGTTGGGGCTAGGTTGTGCTGGCTCGAAGGAGGTTCGGAGGAAGGCAACTGGAATGTCAATAGACGGGTGAATTCTTCTATTTTGCTATCAGAAAGAAGAGAGCTGCCCCTTGTAGTCAGGTTACCCAGGCGCATTTGTGTGGGCAATTGGGGAAGGCGGGCAATCGGGGGAGGAATGCAGAGCTCGTGTTTCGGTGGAGTTGCACTGGTTCACCAGTAAACCTCTTACTTGGAGGTCAAGAATGTTTGAGAATCCAAGTGATGACCAAGTCGAAGAATTCAAGCAATGAACAGACTTTGTGATCGGCCTGAAACTACCTTGGCAAGCAGCTGCTGCTCACAACCAAGCAAGACAACCAAGCCAAGAGCAGTGGGAGAGTGTACCGCCCCAGTAATGTAGCGGAGCTGAACTCGATTTGAAGGACGTTCCTTCCCGCAGCCACCAATTCTCTGCGTTACGCCCTCTCGGAAGCTGAGTTGATGTGTGCGCCGCCCTTTCATCTGCAGCCGAAGCAGATTCACGAGATCAAGGACTTCCTCCTGACGGCCCGGAGGAAGGATGCACGCTCGGTGAAGATCAAGAAGACGGGGGATGTGACCAAGTTCAAGGTGCGGTGCAGCCGGTACCTCTACACCCTGGCCGTCGTGGACCAGGACAAGGCCGACAAGCTCAAGCAGTCGCTGCCCCCAGGTGAGGGTTTTTTTCTTTCTCCCACAAATTGCAAGCTGGTTTCTCTTTGTTCTGCCGGTCCCGGTTCTGTGTTAGGTTACAAAGCCGTTAGTACAAGCAGTCACCGCCCCCAGTTTGCGTTTCTCCTTTCTCTTTTTCTACCTTTGGGTTCCTTCCTTCTGACGACAATATCAAGGCCGACAAGCTCAAGCAGTCGCTGCCCCCAGGTGGGGTTCAATCGTCGTCCTTATCTTTCATCTGCGCATCTTTCTTTCCTTGGAGGTGGTAGTTTGTAACTGCAGCAGGTGTCAACGCCGACAAGTTTGAGCAATAAAGTCAGTCTTCCTCTCGTCTTCTCATCTTCGTTCTGGGTTCTCCACCTTTCATTGGGGGTGGGATTTAACGAGATATAAAGACCACTGAGCTCAAGCAGTCGTTGGCCCCAGGTATATTTTAATCCCTTTTTTTTACAATCCTCCTGTTGGTTATTCTGTTTTGGTGGGTCTCTGTCCCGCTTCAGGTCTCAAAGCCCATTAGTCGAACAGTCGCTGCCCCCGCATCAGTAGTGCTGTTTCTCTTTCTCTTTTTCCACTTTGGGCTTCTCCCTTCTGATCACCATATCAAAGCCGACAAGTTGAACGAATCGCTGCCCCCAGGTGATATTCAGTTCGCTTTTGTCAATCGCTGTTTCCAGGTGTCTAGCGATATTTCTGTGGATTTGTATGTGAGGCAGGACACAGGCAAGGTCTGAGGCCGACAAGCTCATCTTGTCTCGCCATTGGGTTACTCCTCCTTTGCTTTGAGGGGAGGGGGGGGATTCTAGACATTACTTTTGGCAAGCTCAGGAGCTCCTGGCCTCTGGCAAGTTTTCGTCAACTTTCTTATCGAGTTGGTGTGCCCTTGTTTTGTGCGTCATTTTCTTGTGCTCTTTGGCTCGGTGGGTTTAAGAGCCGCCAAGCTCAACCACTGCGGCCCCTAGGAAAACATCAAGTTCTCGTGTCTGAGGTTGCGTTTTCTTCCCGGAATTGCAAGTGTCTCTTTTTGTCTCGCCTAGGGGGCCTGTATGACTGGACAAGCAGTCGCCGGTTTCCGGGCTTGCTCTCAGCCTTGCGTATACTGATTCTGTTGGAATGTTTGCAATTCCTGCACTCTCCTGAATACTCTCTATGTTTCTGATTATTAGCTGGCGCTTCGAGTTGCTCGAGGCCCTTAATGGCTGCTTTGCTCTCCCAAGGAGGACTGAATCTCCCATCTTCGTTTGTATCTTGTGTTGTACTTTGACATCTTTCTGCATTCATACGCTCTTTCTCCCCCCCTGGAAAAGTGCGTTCCGTGGTTGATCACCGGTTGATCAGTTTGTTTTTAGCATGAGAGGATCACGTTTGGGTATCGCCAGCAACTTCTAAGAAAACAGGGATTTGGTGTTGGAGGCTCCTTCCAACTCCGAAACTGATCAAGCATTCTCCTTTTTGTGCAGGTCTCCATGTACAAGACATCTAGATATGTGAACAGACCTTCCTCAGCCAAGGCGCAATATTGAGTGCCTGTTGAGGCTTCCTTCCCTTCTGCGATTCAATCATGGACTGCAAACAACCGCTTTGAATGTCAGCCCTCGTATCATCACTTGCACAAGCACACGAGGAATGTGGGCGCGCAATACACTGGTTATGTGGTTTTCGAGTCCTGCTGTGCAAGGCTGTGTGAGTCTGTGTGCTGACACCCAAGGTCAATCGCCACAATGCTACACCATTGCTACATATGGTCGGCAGTGTACAGGTATCATGGATCACCGTCATCTTGCGCGCGGGTTATGCTGTAAGTTGAAATATAGCTGGATTTTGAGCGAATGGTGTCTTTTCAATCGGTTTTTCACGATTTGATTACCTTACGGGTGCAGTACCAGTAATCATGGGCTGCCTGTGACAATTTCGGCCCTGCTATGTCGCATGCATGTTCTACCCATATAAGATTGCAGCGATCCGTCACAAACCGTAATTAAGTTCAATGTGAGTCAAAGCCTGAGCTATCATGATGGCACGCCTAGATATATGCTGCACGCCATGCGCACTGGCCCGGGCGGGTGCGGCTATATTTCATCATGTGTACCCAGGTCATGCGTCCGGGAATCCTGGCATTAATCATTGATCGACTGCAAGTCACAGCGCGCAAGAACTGCATACTACATGACAACAAAACCAAGAATTGGCACATGCATGCATGCTCATGCTAAGTATGATATTACTGGTCCCTGGCCGACGACGTGACGCATGCCCCAGTTCAGTGTGGTAGCTCCGATAATTTAACTTTCTTGGGATACAGTCCCGCAGAAAGACCAGGCTCGTTTATGCGTCCTTATATATTTGACATATAATAGTCCACGATGCGGAAGGCTGGATGCGTATACTAGACTAAGCTACATGCCTGCTTAGATCTCATGGCTACACGTGCGGGTACATCTCTCTCACAAGATCTTGCCTCTACTAGGCTAGGGTCAAAATGCGCTATGGCACAACCTTATGTCTCCAACTGATTGGCCACAGTCCATTATGGCAACGAGCAGCGACTCGACCCAAAGTGCCGCTTCGACGACCTTCCCGAGCTAGCATGATTGCTAGCGTACACTCGCTGCAACCTGACTATCTTTCAACTTTTATCTTCGACTATTGGAACCGGTCAGCGTGCCACACAGCGCAACCTCCCGCTTGCTCTCATTAAGTATGCAGTATGTGCGCCGAACGAGCTCTTACAGCCCCGACTTTAGCTTCCTTCGCTAGCCTCGTTGCTCTGCTTGCGGATTGCTTTATACCACACAAACTGTCCGAGGATGACTAAGTCCATGGCAAGGCAACAAGCGGCGTCCACCAGCCACGGCAGGTTGGGCCCCAACTCCGACCAGGGTCCGCTCCGTACCAAAATGCTGCAACTCGACCCCGAAATACCGTCAGGCAATTCTAGTGAGCCAAAGAGTTTCGATCGGCTCTACTTAACACCATACATGCTGCTGAAGGCTTCGATCGGCTTTACTTAACACCCTACATGCTGCTGAAGGCTTCGAGGAACGAGTCGTACACCTAAACGAATCAGTGAGAACACCGAGTAGGAGCAAGCTGCACAAAGAGTAAAGCCGTCCTCCACTTGCACTGGGAGGGGAACAATGCAATCCGCTCACGAAGACTTCGCAAGGCGCAGCAATCGAAGAGATTACAGAGACTCGAAAACTATTGCGAAAAGGAACCCCAGAGTCTCGGAAGGAAATCGGAAAGAGCCTGCTGTAAGTCGATGCCGTTCGTACAATCAAACCATTGACCTGAGCTTCTACGAGGTAGCACATGCATAGGGAGCTCCCGTAGCCTGTTCGAGCTCGTTAGCACGAGCAACACCTGCCTTGGTTTTTCGCTCAAAGGCAGTCTGACAGGCCAGGAAAGGATGCTATCCCTCTGGTCGCTTAATGCAGAGCACTTGTGACAAGGACACATGAAACTGGACTTTGTGTCTTCCCATTCGCGGGGCATCCTCTGATGTTACATACAGGGCAGGAACCACGTAGATAAGATCGTAGGAAGCTCCATATGGGGGCACGAAAGGTTCAAAAGTAGAAGTACATCCAATTTGCATCTAAGAAAAAGAACAAGGGTAGGAGCCAGGTTAGACCCCGGGACAGAAAGAGCCGAGTAGCAAATTAAAACTCGTTCCAACATCGGAATGCTGAGGGCCGAAAGGTGAATATGCAGACGCGAGAGTAAGGGATTAAGGGTAGCAGCTCACCTGCCCAGGTACGTGGCGTTCCCCGTGATGGCAAAGACAAACATGGACATGGAGAGGCCCTCGACGGAGCCGCGCCGGATGTTGAGCAGGATCTGGGGCAGGCGGCCCATCAGGTAGATGGCCGTCATGGCCCACCCCATCAACAACCCCACCGTGCTGCTCACCTCTGGGAAGAACACGCGGAAATCTGGTTAGGGCTTGGTCAAAGCGATGACCCAAACTGGTTAGAGAAAGCAATGGCCGTCATGGCCCACCCCATCAACAACCCCACCGTGCTGCTCACCTCTGGAAAGAAAAGGACAGAGATCTAGTCAGAGCCGCTTTTAAAACTAGCTTGACGTTAACAAAGAATGGGCGTCATTGCCCACCCCATCAGCAACCCGACCGTGCTGCTCACCCCCAAAAACTAACAAACATAAATCAGGTTAGGGCCTTGAACAAGACCATGGTATGAAGGAATGGTTGACGAGAGCTTCAACTATGACAGCGAGAATAGGATCGGAGACAAAAGTAAGGGACAACGCAAACGAAGCTCACCCGGTTCGAAGATAGACGACTGGCCTGCAAAGCTACCATACCCCGCCTGTAATAGGTCACAAAGGTCGTTGAATCAGTCCGGGGCACTCAACTCCAAAGCACTGGTATTACAGCCTCCTTCATGCCTGCACTGCTTCAAGCAGATGTCAATGTGATTGACCGAGTCCATGCCAACCGCGAGCCACACAGGAGCGCGGGTGATCACTGCCCAAGTAATTTTGGATAAGAAGATGCTCTCAAGCTCCCACGGACCTTTTGTAACTCACCCGTACAGAGACAGCAGGTTGTCAAGTAGCCTCACAACATGCGCTCTCCGCGAACCTTCGGACGCACCTAATCCACTTACATATCCGAAAAAAGAACTCACATGCAGCAGTTTCCGCCCCGAGACCCCCCCACCGCTCAGCATTTCGCCGAACCCGCCTGGGGCCCCTCCTAAGAGAGGGGAAGCAACGAGCTGCACTCCTGTTGTGATCATCATGACCGTACCAATCTGCGATTGACGAGAATGAATGGCTTCAAAGATCACTTCCGATCTCTTGGTCTTTTATCCAGAAACTGATGTCAACATTGCTGTGAAAAATTCCTCTGTGAGCGTCACGTTGCACAGTATTCTTGTAAACACTTGCTTCGAGAATCACCGTGAGAGTTGCCAAGTAGAGTGCTGTCGGAGCAAGTAGGGGCATGGTCAAGCTGCATTCTGAAAGAACAGTCTACATATCGTAATGTCGTTCCGATGTCAAAGCAGGAACCTGTGCAATCAGTCCAGGATGGGAACTGATCAGCTTGACATCAACTACTCCCTTGCCAAAGTATCTTTCTAGCGACCTCTAAGGAACTTTTCTCAACACTCCTCAAGGTCCAGAAACGTGAACGGCCGAAAAGCGAAAGGCCATCCAAAAATCTTTCAGTTCCTTTGACGCAAGGTACCCGCGCAAACGACCCAACACTGGGTTTCGTAATCTTCCTAGAAAGTTGCCTCAAGAGTACTATGAATCACGAAACTGCAATGATGCTTACAGAGTGAGGTCGAAGGGAACATGTAACAAGAAACGGAGTGCGATTCGAGCCTCACCGAATGCAACGAGGGGGACATGGTCATCCGCCGATAGCTGCCATAGCTGTACGAGTTCCCACTGGGCTGCCTAAAACATACGCAGGAGGCTTCATTAAGCAACGTTGTTGGCGACCTATAATGCTATTTCATTGATCGAGAAGCTGAGCCATGAACAAGCGACCACCAGTGAAGACAGGCCATCAATCAGTCTATCACCACGACCGTTTGTCTTGCTGCAGGAGCTTGAAGACGCTCATGCACTCTGATGGGTCCACGAATCAATCTCTTGGGCACTTTTGACAACGGCCAGTTACGTGAAGTCCACACTGTACACATGAGCAGTTTCAGAAAAAGTTGCACCTGACCATGGGAACTTGAACCATGGGAACCTAGTTGGTGACGGCCAAATAAAATCGAAGCAGGGGAAATTATTACTTGCAAAGTCGGAAATGTTTTGGATACGTACTACGGTGGTTAACGACCTTTTAGAGAAGTAGAGTCGGTATTTCTCACGGGTTGCGCTGCCTAGTTGCGTTTGAAGACGGGATTGGCGCCGTTCTTGTCCGTGCCAGCCTCGTCTTTCCATCCCCAGGGATCGTGGTCCCGTCCGCTAGAGAAGGGTCTGATGGAAACAGACCCTCCAGCGAACCCTGCGACCGGCTGCCCTCCTCATTCTCCACTAGAGGAGCCTGTCAAAACAAGCGAGGGCTCAATGTGCTCCTGATTGACTTACAGGGCAGTCATTTTGGCTGTGTCTGAGAACGTGTGTGCAGAATCCTAAGAACGCACGTTCGTAAAGGCAGCCGCATGGTGTTGCTAGTTGAGGCTGAGAGCACTGATCTTAAGTAACTTTCTCCGCAAACAAGTCAAAACTGCCCGAAGACATGTAGTAGGTCCTCATTGTTACTATTTACTGAACAGCTTCCAAACGCTTCCAGATGAACCACTACAATGCCAATCTTGACGTGGATGTTACGAGAAGAGGACAGAGTACATCATTGGCCAGGCATCCTTTTGCCAGACAGGTCTTTCGAGTTGGAGAAGCCTTCCAAACCTTATCCTATAATCATTATCTCCTTTCAATGCTGAAGATAAGTCCCATTTCATTAACGTGGAACCTGTTACATTACGCAAGGGTATACCAGCCAACCACAGCTCCTTGAATGGATGAATATGGAAGATGCAACAGGCGCCACTTGCAGAAGAAATAGAATCCATCACATGTTCTGAATGGAATGTAGAAAGGGCACATTTGTAATCCTTTGTAAGAGGGTCGAAACACTAAAAGTTGCTACTTTAGTCAGGCGACTTGACATAGAGCAAACGACAAAACCCAACATCAAGTCAATGCATCTATGCGATAGATGACATTGAATACAAGGAAAAAGCGGAGAAGACGTATCAGCGTACGTGCATCATCCTTACTGTTATGTGACGTACTAGAGTCAGAGAAACAAAAGCCAGCTGACAGAATCACCATATGCAACACGGTGCACGACCCCAAAGTGATGCTAGTGGCTGCGCACAGTGGTGCTGGAAGCTCACCTTCAAAGCCTCCTCCCGCGAGTTCTTGGGTTTTAGCCACGTGAACCATATATGTTGAAAGACGAGTACCAAAGTGGTCAAAGTGTAGAGCTGCAGAAGGAGAGAATGTACAGAACATGTCTGCGTTGAACATCCGAAAACTCGGTCTTCTTCCTTGTCACAATGCTGCTCTGATCTTTTCCATGCTGTTGTCATACCTATGTCCTATTTTAACTTCTAATGCTGATAAGAATGCTGTGGCTAAAATACCGATTAAGTACTTCCATTCTTTCAGAGTAACGAAAGAGAGGGTTTTCTTTAGAATGGAGTTTGCAACTAAGCTTTTTGGTGGTATGAGTTAAGCACTCACCAGAGCGGTGTAGAATTGTGTGGGGAGGGTCGCTGGGGTGAGATAGCAACCAGTGAGGTTGAAGAGGTCGCTGCAAAACGAATAAAGAAAGATCAAATCCTGAAGAGAGTCAAGGAGGTGCGAAGAAGTTGTGGTGGTTATGCCAGGTGCAACTTGTAGTGGTGATGGACGAGGTTGTTAAAGAAAGCAATGAGGTCATTGTTGATAAAGTCAAGAATCATATATCCAAGTTCTATCCCATTGCTGACAGATTTGCACTCCCTTCTTCTGTCGGGGTTGCACTGCTATGTAATCAGGAAAAAGGACGTAGTAGCCAGACATGTGTTAATCATTGAGTCACAGCAAGTCACCTTCAACATTGTCAGGTACTCTAAAAATGCCAGAGCAACTAACGGCCAAGAATGGAGCAATTTAAAGATCAATAAGCACACTCACCCTATGGTCCAGGTCAAGATGAAGGCAAAGCTGACATGTTCGGAACTGCCTGCCTTCCAATTCGCTATGATCTGTGGAATCTCCGCAACACCCCACGAGAAGATGCTCGCCAGTCCCAGTCCAAAGGAAACCTTGTCCCGCGTGTTGCACACACAATCGTGAAAATACTGAAACACCCAGGCACTGCACTCCCCATCGCTCGGACACGTGACGTCAAACCCCATGGCGTTGCATCAAAAACCCTTGCTAGCACCAATGTGCACTCCTTCTGGTTCTGCAAACCCAAGCTTCACAATTGAACCAGCATCATGGTAAGCCCTGGTTCGGCACCATGACAAGAGAAAGAAGCTGACAAGGAGAGGGAAGCGCGCTGGAAATGTCGAACCATGCCACGAATGCATGCACAGGCAGCATGATGCTAATGCCCTTCCTCCTCCCCTGGACAAAGTGTGAACAGCCGACTCGAAAGTATCCAAGCGACAACCAAAGAGTTCCATTGTTACAAGAGGTCGCTGCTCGGAGCCAGAGACACTGCTCGGGGGCAGCGTGTGCTGACCACTGCCGAGGTTTGCTGACAGGAAACTGGTTTGCACTAACGAGCAAAACAGTTTCAGAATAAGAAAGACAAGCTCACTGGCGCAAAACGGACAAAGAACTTCGGAAGCCAAACATTTTTGGGAATAGACTGCTCGTCGACGCAATGTATTTCAACCGGGCACTGCTCACAGAGCACAACCGAGTGACGTTGGTGGGGTTGGTGGGCGGGTTAGGGTGGGCTGGGGTGGGCTGTGGCGGAACGACTAGGGTGTTGGTTAGGGTTATGTCACTGTATTTAGGTTTCTAGTGTTGGTCGGAGGCTCCCCGGTAGCAATCTGGCCCGGTACAGAGACCGTGCAGTGGTGGGTACCTTAGCTTGCAACGGTTCTTTGAAATCAAGCCTGCGCGGTACCCACCTTTATTGGACGAGCGCCGACTTGCGTACAATTCCGAAAAAAGTTTGGCTTCTTTGTACCCCTTGCCTCACTGGCACGGATTTAGCCAACGGCCCACGGCACATGGCCACCAAACCCGGTACGTAATTTCAGTATCATTGACACTGTTTCACAGAAGCTTTAACCATTCTACGGGCGCAGCCTTATCCTCTAATTTCTTATCCAGATTCGCAGATATCGCCACCTCCTTCAAGTTGAACTGGGAGTGCACGTTTGAAAAGTTTGCAGGCGCTTCCCTTTCCTTGCGCTTTCTCCTCTGCCAACAGAGCTTTGGTAGGGTCCACAGTAGAGGAAGGGGAAAGCAATGGCTTCTGCAACCATGGCTGCTTCCTCATCTGCCGCTGTCGTGCCAAGGACAGCATTCACTCCCTCTGCCAGCAAGGTGATGACCAAACCGTACCAATTTTTGAGAGCTGTTCAGTTTGTGTGCTCAATCCAGTGTCTCCTTGTCCATTTTGGTCTGTTCGGTTGGTCTTATCTTATGGATTTGACAAGTAGCAAGCAACAGGGTAGCGATGTCCAGAGGAGTGTATTGTGGTGACTGTGCTTCCTGCAGTGTCATAAACATCTTAGTTTGACAAGCATAGCCAACTTTTTGGGAAGTTGGTCATTTCTGTGAGCAACCTTCTTGACAGGGCCTGGTTTCACTAGCTATCTTTCTAAACTTCATGGTCAAAGCGTCTAGGTTCGGACTTACTGGTAGAAGTACCTTTACCAAGAAGGTGCTGAGAAGGCCTTTGTAATTCCAACAGGCATGCTTAGTCCTTGTGCGGCACGGCTCTTTGCAGTAGACAAATCTGCCAGAACCTGATGCGCAGTTAAGCCCTTTACAATGGTCTGGCAACAGCATTGGTTGGATGGAGCTAATGATGATTCACTGAGGTCAGCACAGATATTGGAAAGCACAAATCAAAGCAGAGACGTCCGCACTGCCTGTTTTTGCTGGATGGGGCAGCATTCTAGCACTTTGAGGTAGTATGTGCAGCTTTTCGGTACCGGAGGCATCGCCATTTCTCCGAAGCTGCCTGCCAGTTGTGAGGCGTTATGTCAAGACCATATAACAGCTTGCGCCCTTCTGAGTCGAGGGCCTCAATCTGAGATTTTCCAAGAGCAGCCTGCTCTCTCTCCGATCGCAGGTTCAGGATTGAAATACATTTGGTAGAGATGGGGATAGGAGCAACAGATTGGGAGGTTGGTCGTTGGGGCACATTCATTACGATCTCCTCGTTGTTGCAGCTGATCTGGTCAACCAAGCACAGCGAGTCCTCACAGAGGCCCATACAGCAACAAATCGACTCTTGCAGTATGCAGCATCACAACCATGTGACTTTTGCTTCTCACAACAGGCGCTGTGGTCAACTCGGGCCAGGTGTCTTATTGCAGGTTTGAGGATGAAACATTGGTCAAACAAATCAAGAACGCGTCTCTTCTGGTTCCTCTGCTTCTAACCCTGACTCTTCAACTTCTCGTTGCTTCTGCAGCTTGGCTCCTCTTCCAATGGCCTCGCTACGAGCGTAAAGCCCTTTGTGGCTCAGGGGAGCGTTGTGAGGCAGGGCAAGAGGGCTGCCAAGGTTGTCAGCATGGCCGCGGTCGCTAGCGACAAGGTTCCTGACATGAACAAGAGGGTCACAATGAACCTCCTCCTTGTCGGAGCCCTCTCCCTTCCTGCGGCTGGCCTCCTCGGACCCTATGCCTACTTCTTCGTGCCCCCTTCGTGAGTTACCGGTTCCCCTGCTCGCGCGAATCCTTGCGGGGTTCTCAGACAGCTTGGTAGCTTTTTCTAGAAAGGCGACTGTCCGGAAATGACATGCTGCGGTTCCTAGGTTTCTGCAGTCTCAGGGAGAGTGCTCAGCAGAAGCTGCATGCGTATGCATCTGGTCCGCTGAACCCTAATTTGATGTTAGCATTTGCTAAGGGGTTAAGCATGGATTATTCTGGGTTCTTGAGTACACGAGAAGAAAGTCCGTTGTGCGCTGCAGATCCGGCTCGGCTGGCGGTGGTGTTGTTGCCAAGGACGCCTTGGGCAATGACGTTGCGGTCAGCAAGTGGACAAAGACGCATCTTGCCAATGACAAGTCCCTTGTGCAGGGCCTGAAGGTGAGGTTCACACTAGGTCTGCCACTGCTCGAGTTAGAACTAGTCTGAAGCAATAAAGAGTGCAGCCTATCAGGGTCGGAAGCAAAAAAGAGCAGTGATTGCAAATGGAGGACAAGCAGAAGCGCTGTTCATTGAACAGCCTCCATATGCCTGCAGATTTCAATCGCACGACCACAAGTGCCGCCGTCAGCCAGTCCTTGCATTGGCACTTACGTATGTCTTTTTGAGATTTCTCTCGTGCAAACTCGGCGGTTGCCACCCCCTCAGGTACTCGGAACTTTCTGATCGACATAGGCTATGGTAGTAAAAGCAGCACTTCCAACTTTGCAGGGTGACCCGACATACCTGACCGTCAAGGAGGACCTTTCCATCACGACGTTCGGGATCAACGCCGTGTGCACTCACTTGGGTTGCGTTGTGCCGTGGAACCAAGCGGAGAACAAGTTCATGTGCCCCTGCCACGGGTCTCAGTACAACTCCGAGGGCAAGGTCGTCCGCGGGCCCGCTCCTCTCGTGAGTGTCCAAAACGCGTCCAAAATATTTCCTAGTTCTCTCAAAACCTTCTGAAATTCAAACCCAGTTTCAATAGACCCTAGTCTTGATCGTTGTTTCGTTTATTTAAACCTGCTCTCACTCAGTTCTATTGTATGTTTCGTGCAGACCAGTCCCTAACCTGTCTCAAAACCCCTGCACATAATCTGAACCGTGCCCTCTGCTTTCTTGATTTAGTTCGATTGTATTGCAACGGAGGCAGCAACGTCTGTGCATCACTTCACTTGCTTGCCCTTTCATGCTGCACAATTGCAAGTTCTCTGTTTGCAGCCTTTTGCACTTGCTCGCTGGCTGCTCTGTGTTTCAGTTTTCATAAATGGATGTTCTTCGAAATTGTTGAAGCTAAAAGTACTGAAGGTAGTGAGTAGGCTGCTCCACGAAAGGTCCAGCTTGAACTTTGCATGACGCTTTGCATCTTCGATTTCACGCATCTCACTAGAAACCCTTGAATTTTTGCAGTCATTGGCCCTAGCTCACGCTGACACTGTTGACGACAAGGTCGTGTTGTCCCCCTGGACCGAGACGGACTTCAGAACTGGCGAGAAGCCCTGGTGGTCTTAGAGCTTGTGCTGCGGACCACATTTTCCGTTGGTTGCATAGAAAGGTCGAAGAGGATCCAACGATGGGGGGATATGGTCGTATCGCTCAGTTGATGCATCCTAATTTCGATTTGTGTAAAATTCATCTGTTGACTCAAGGCTAGGCCAGTTGAGCATTGGACTGCTTCCATTGTACAACCCTTTAGCAGAGTCGCGCAGAGGATGACAACAGTGTCATCCCCAAGTTCTCAATTCACCACTCCGAGTTTTTCAATACTTGGCACGCACCGTGGGTCGGTTGTGCCTTGGGATTGGTTATGGAATTGCTGTGCTTCCGCTCACACAGGTTTGAAACTGCGTCCGTTCCATATTCCCCCATGTGGGTTTGCATCATGCAAAGCTGCACAAGATTTGCAATCTTGGTGATATGTCCCTATCTTTTCCAGAAAGGTCCTGAATCTAGAATAGCCATGGCAGGTTATTGCTGATGCACATTCACGGTGTTCGAAAATAGTCGAGTGCATGACATATATAATTGCTAGTAAACATCGACATGAGCCAAGCTCGCACGCAATGAGTTTCTTATACAATGAGTCCATCATGCATGCCTCAATTCGAAAGAGAACATGTCATGAATGATGTTCTCAGCATGTCCCAGGGCCGGCCATGCACATGCACGGCTAGACTATGAGCGCTTCACATGCAGGCATGTGGCCAACGATGCACATGCAACAATACAGTCATGCTAGAGGTTCGATCATAAACCGCAACTACCTAAACTTAAGATGACTTTTGGGCAACAGGACTATATATGAAATCGATCTCGTCCATATGCAATTTGCAAATCTGAATTTTTTGATTATGTGCTGCAACTTTATGGTGTATAAGAGGGATCGATCTAGCTAGGAGCTATGAACAGCGATCGAAGCTATATGCAGTCTCATGCAATATACAGCCCGCACTGCATGCCAGATAGATGCACTGAGCAGTGCATGAGCGGCAGCTTGCCAGGCCTATGCGTGCATGCCATACGGCTCAACTTAGCAATTTCAACATACACATTCGATTATCAGGGACATGTGCGGAATTGTGCGACACCGCGACATTGTTCGAACTCGATCCAAGATTTGAGCATGAAAACCCACTCTTTTCGAGCGTGACTCAAAGGTACTGACATGTAAGGTGTCTGTCGACTAGCCTTGTCTGTTTGCCGGACTTAGCCTAAACCCTCCTAAAGCTCCTAATGCGAGAGCCATATTTGCCCCACTTTTTGACAATGCAACTATTGCGATCTGATTTAGGGTGCAATGTGTATACCTTTTGATGCAACGTGTTTACCTGGACAATGACGACCTAGCGCTCTTTTGAAAGCCTAGCGCTCTAATAAATGCGTGATGAGCTGGTCTCTACCTTACGCACATGAGCAGTGACGCTCATGACTCCAAATGCAGGCAGTAACACCACTGTTTACCAAATGATAATGTCAAGCTAAAGTACAAGAGCTAAGCTAGCGTAGCAAGCCGTGGAGGTATATACGCCCACTCAAAAGTGCGCCTCAAACTACCACGCAACCTTTGCATAGGCCTCAGCGCAAGCCGCCATTGAAGGTGGATGATTTTCTCATCAGATCTCTTGATCACGGTCTATCCTCCCCGAAACCTCTCTTCCCGCCACTCCCTTTTGTCACAATTTGATTCTCTTCCAACGGGGAATGGCATACAAAAAGGCACATGCCCCTTGCCCGGCTGCTACCGCTTCCCTGGCAGCTGCTCGCGCCGGTCCCAAAAGTTGAGGCTCTGATTCTCTTCCTTCAACTGGAATGCGAGCCCCATGTTCTCTTGGCCCTCCAGGCCTCCGAGGGGCAATTCGTGGGAGCCGTAAAAGGAGGATAGCAGGTTGGGCGTGTCGAAAGAGCCCACCAGTCGCGGCTGCTCCTCGGAGGGCCTCTGCAGGTCCAGCCCGAGCGCCTCCGCGACCGCCAGACTAGTTGCCGAGGCTGCAACCGGTACAAAAAGACGGGCGTCAGTCCCCACCGCAAGCTCAGCCGTTATATCCGGTAGCGGCTGCTGTTAGAGACGTTTCTGCTTTCAATCTGGCTCTGAGACCGGGGCACTCTCAAGAGTCGACCAATGCTCCCTGATAGAAAACAATTGACCTAAAGCAAGCGCAGACTTGAGAGTCGGTATGTCGAAAACATGGGCCATTAGCAGTGGAGAGGATAAGGGCGCTTCACAATGCGCTGATCAAAGTAGGACATGCATGAAGCTGTTGAAAGTCTGAAAGGGGAGTAAACATTGTACATCCAACCCGGCAGACATCGTTGTCCTCCTAAAGGTCGAGCAAACGGACAGTGGCCTTGCGACAACATAGAAAGACGATGCAAGGGAAACTCGCAACTTCGTTTGAAAATTGTTCTGGCTTACGTTGTGAAGTTGGCAGAGCGGGTCCCGTACCGCCTATTTCCGGTTCCGGTTTGGTAGGGCTTGGCAGGACGGGACTGCACAACAGCGATCGTTGTCATCTTGGTGGCTTGAGAAAACAATGGGTCAGTCAAGTCTTACTTGCCAATACCAAATGCTGTTCGCTTCCGCAATACCTTGCGTCTGAAAGAAGAACCACCTTCAGATGTGAACCTGTGGGCGTCGACAATAACACCTCGTTTGAGAAACCAGCGGAGTCAGCCCGCAGCAAGATAAAGTGGCCAACGAAGATGATGCAATCTTTTCGGGGCCCAAAAGTTAGTAACATCGCCGTCTGGGAATATCTCAAAGAGACTCGAATATCAGCCTGCATCTAAAACTGCGACGGCTATAGTGCTGAAGGGTCTGCAAGAGGGAAGCAGTAGCCCTCCCTATCCAAACGGTTCCACCGGTTATCTCACAATAGATGTGTTGTTTGACTTCTAGATAAACCCTTATGGCATGCTCGATCGGCGCCCGCTTTACCCTAGCGCAGGCGAAACAGCATCAAGAATACAAAGATAGGAGTGGACAACAGTAGGAACCAAAAGGAAAACCAACAAACACAACAACGTTGGGAACGTCGCCAAGAAGGAGATCCGAGAAACAACGGTGTTCAGAAACTCAAGAAATGGAAGGTCAACATAACAAAACAGTTACACTGAAGGAGACCAACGAGCACAACAACTAGAATGCTGAGACGGGAAAAGGTAACAGTTTCGGGAATGAGGAGACAGAACTACGGCGCCCCACCTGTGGCCCTTGAACAGGTTGAGGTGGCCCAGCAGCTTGTCCTTGCGGCTGAAGGTCGTTTTGCACGAGCACGTCCACTTCTCACGCCCACAGTGCTTCTCGTGCGTCTTCAGGTCCGCCACCACCGAAAACTTCTTGGCTCCGCACTTGCTGCAATGCCGCAGAGGCTGGATTGCTCACACTTTGAACCTTTCGCAAGCTGTTACAGCGGAATCTGGTCTGACATGCATCGCTATGGACGACCAAGTCAAACGGTCTACAAGTTACAGCTTTGGAAGATGTTCGCATGCCGACACTGTTCCGACTGGAAGCGACACTGGGAGCTTTGCAGACTCCTGTAGCAATCATCACAAGAGCGACCACGGCAGCGCGCAGGACAAGCCAGGCTCTCAAAAGGCTGGGCTTTGTAACTAGAATGCCTGCACTACTTCAGTTGCGTCGATCTTCGAATCTCCGCAAAACGATAGTTGCTAAGGGTATTGCTGAACAAATACTGGGCTGCACAAGCACCTTCCCAATCAAACCAACCCAGCCAGTTGGTACGGTACCTCATTACCCACGTCGCTTAGTGAGCAATGGGTTGCTGTAATGAGAAATGAAAAGCCTCAGCCTGCTGTCAAGCCTTACCTGCAGGAGAGGACCTTGGGGCAGTGGCTCCGCCGGTAGTGGTTCTTCACGCACAGCATCGTCTTGAGCGGCTGGAACTTGGAGTGCTTCCGGTTGCGCTTGCAACCGACGTGGGGACAGCTGAACCTGCAATCAAACAGGGGCCGCAGCCATCAGCATATCAAGTTCCAGGGCAACATTGAGGAACTTGCAACTGCGGAGATTATCGATCTCCCAAAACATTCCTGCGGCGTCAACCTTGAACAATTAGGCAAATCCTATAGACTGCTTTGCCAGCCTTGAAGACTTGTGGACGCTGCAACAACACCAGACACACCCCAAGCAGCGACTTCTGAGAATCTCAGATGCTGATCTCAATTCTTCAGTGAGATCCATGCCGCTTCGACTCTCACCATACATGGTGGAAGGCACCTCAACTTAAGCTGACTCCCATGACGGCCAACTTTCCCAAACCACTGTACGAATAATTTAGCAAAGTACAGAAGCGAGTGCCGCTGCCGGAGAAAGGTTTATGTACGAACCTTTTCGGTCGCAAGGTTCCAGATTCCTGTGGTTTGTCTGGCTTCGCGAGCGCGGCTGCAGTCTTGTACTGGTCCCCATGGCCCCGCATGTGCATACGCAGGTTTGCATCCCGCTTAAACCCTGCACGTCGTTAGTTCAAATGAGACCGTACAGTGTTGACAAGTGTGGTCCAAAATAGCAGCCCTATGTGACGGTGTTACGATGAAGGCTGTGGAAAGATGAAACATGGATTCCACATCAGCTGGTGACAGAGCATGATAGAACGTCATGCCTTGCGACAAAGTCACTAGGACATCTGATATGACCCTCAGCCAGTTTTGGGATGCTGGTCTGGCCGGAGGGGATGCCAACCCCACCTTTGTTGCAGATCTCGCAGAAGTGCGTGTGCTCGGCCAGGATCTCCATCGCGTCTAGTTCCATGACATCGTACGAGCCCTCTGCACAAAGCCTCTGGTTACATGGAGTTCGCGCTTCTTACTGGCTGAGTGAAACGAGTAAGGAACGACAGCAACGGCTCGCCATGTGCAAGTAAATGTAGCCAGTGAGCGGCCCTCCCAAAAGTCAACAATTCTGGCAAAATGCAGGCCAGTAGAGCCGCTGCGTCAAAGAGAGACATCCGGGGCAGAAGACCTGAGAGACTTCAAAGAGTGGTAGATGCAAGCTCGCTAACATGCCGGACAAGATGATGAAGCTTCCAGTGCAATCGCCCCACCATTGGGACCTATACTGGCCTTGGCAGACGGATCGCTGGAAACAGCCAGGTAACAAACCCCTTCTAAAACAAGAGCCGCTGGTCAGATCTGCAGCTTTGCATTCTGATCAGTGCACGAATGCAGATGCAGGAGCTTCCGAAACCTCCTGGCACAAAACCATCGGGTCTATTTCAGATCTGAGACGCTCGCCCCATTCGCCAGAATTGATTGCACAGCTTTCACTAACCTTCCGCCGAGCAGAAGAGGCCGCAAGGTAGTACCTCAACCAGCATACAGACACTTAATAAGAATTTCCAAGAAAAGAGGAATGGGCGCAGCCTGAACACTTACCAGGCAGATTCTCCTCCGAGTCATAGTCCTCCTTATACGACCCCACACCCCCCTGCTCCTCCTCCTTGTCCGACGCCTGCTGCGTCAACTCCCCCCCCACGTTTCGAACACTGTTCCCGTCTGGCAACCCAAAGCTTGAGATGTTTGCTGATGTAGTGTTAAGAGCAGCGCTCCCTGCCGTTCCCCTGGCGCTATTCAGCCGGTCACCTGGGAGAGGTTGAGTAGCCGGCAGAAGACCTGCTGCTGCGGAAGCTAGCTGAGCCATAGAGGCTTGCAAAACATTGGCCACGCCGATGGTGGCCGCTTCTTGCTGGGAGCGACTGGTGCCGTGTTGGTTCAGGAGGGGGATAAGGGCTTGGAGAGTGGCGATGTTCTGCAATACAAGATGCTGTGGTGTCACCGAAGTTCGCAGAGAAGGATTGAGAATGCTGTTCAAAATGGGCATTAAGAAAGAAGCGCAGTCGCCCACAGAAAAAAAGACGATTAGGTATCTGCTTCCCCCGTCAACAAAAGAATAAGAAAAGGAGGCATCAATAGTTACAAATCGTTACAAAGGCCAAGCAATGTTGTTGAAGCGAGCATGTTTGTAAGTAAGGATCTGAGTTACAATGGCAACGAAGGAACTAGCCCTCCGATGCGCAAGTCAAGAAAGTCAAGAAGCTGACTTTCCGCTTCCACAGGCCAAATGAATTTCTTAGCGTTGCACATCTCAGAAACTAGCCCCCCGATGCGCTTCTACAGATATCAATCTTCTTGGGAAGTTTTTGCAGCACCAACATTGTAACTGGCAGTGCATGCAAATGCATGGATGCACAACGAAGTAAGTTTCATTCCTCGGAACATTGCTCATGTGTGATCATGGAGCAACTGCTTTACATTCAACAAGACTAGGCACAGAAATGGAGAGCGCCAGGTTACACACAGCCTCACCAATCCCAAGCTGCAAGATTGCAATGCTATGCAAAGAGCACTTACTTCGACAGAAGACCTGTCTCAAGAAACAAATCCGAACCCTGAAATTTCAGTGAAACCATGGTAGAAGCCACAGTAAACTAGACGGATAGACTGTGAGGGAACAAGAGCAAAACCTCTAGCATTCAACAAAAGCAAGGTGAACTGATAGTTGTACGTTTTTTTTTGCAGCAGCTCTCACCTTCTGCAACTGGTTCAACGTGCTAAGCAGCGAGCTGGGAAACAGCATGGCCTCTCCTCCTCCAGTTGTGTCCTGTGCTAAAGGGCCACCTGCTAGCCCCGCCTGCAAGAATGCCGCTAGAGCAGCATGACTGCTCATCCCCCCCCCTGGCAACTGCAAGTTCCCGAGCATCAAACCTTGGGACGAGCTCAAGTTGTGCGCAGCCTGAAACCCGTGGTCCTGACCTAAGGGCTGGCGGTCCAACTGAGGGCGAAAATCAAGGCGTGCATGGCTGAGCTGGTCGTGCAAACCCCTGGACGCGGACTGGTAGGGGTCCCTCCCCGCAAGTGGCACACCCGCCAGGTCTAAGAAAGACTGGGGCCCGGGGTTGCTCGCCATTTCCCCACCGAAGAAGCCGGACTTATCATGAAGATGCTGGAATGACATCCTTGCGGCAGGAAAGGACACCTTTATCCTAGCTCCTCAAGCGGTAACGCTGAGGACGATCATCGCTTTTATTGAAGGAACCATAGCACAGCCAACTTGAAGACAAGCTTGACATGTGGCCTAGACAAAGCTGGAATGCATAGTCTAATGGGGGTCCCTGACGTGGTTGATACCCCTGGGTCCAGGCGCAAGCAAACCAACGATCCTTCAGACGCCTGCTTTTGATTCCAAGCTCTGGAAGGGTTCAGGGTCGTGAACATTCCTGTGGGTATTTGCTCCACCTCTTTGGGATCTAGGAGTTGCACACCGAGGGGGCTGCTCGTGAACTCCTTGTAAACTGCGGGTCCACCATGAGGATCACTGCCATCAGGCCAAGGACCACCTGAGGTGACCTGACTACCGAGCTAGGGCGCCATGATCCATTTGCATGAGCAAGATGACTCGGCAACTCGGACCGCCTGGGCGCAAGACGAGTGAAGGAAAACTCTCCAAAGTTGGAAGCGTCGTGACTCGTGTGCCCAGGGCCAGAGTACGGTACTCAAAGACTGAATGACAAGAGTCTAGA